AAGTAATCAACCAATTCGTGGGGAAAGCCCCAATGCTGAATACTTGCTGGCTTGTCGGTCGAATGTCAGGAGTGACTGGGAAATAGAATAAATGGGCTACAAATATGGGTTAGTTGCAATATATTTCATCATTTGTCCTGTTTGAATTTACTATTTGTTAGGTTTTCCTTTTTTTTCCCAGCTTTTGACATTGTTGGTTTTACAGTTTCGGGAAACATATTTATTGCAAATGCTTAATGTACACGATATTAGCTTGATGGTTGTCCATTTTAATAAAGTATATTATTTATCAGAAAATATGGCGTTTTATAGGTTGCATCATGTTTAGCTGAAATGCAATCACTTAAAACTGAAAGTGACTGAATATTTTCCCATGTAGTTTATTTTTTAAAATTAAAATAAGCTTTAAAGATTCCCCTTCACTTGATTTAAATCTTATCATTAACCTCTGCTGATTGCCGAATTCCGATTAAAATCCATTCCAGAGATATTTCATGAACTTAATCAATTTTAACTACCCACAAATACTCTCTGGCGGAAAAATGAGCTTAATGATTTTCCGACTTAATTACAGTTTTACAGTCACCGTGGCCTCTCAAACTTCACGCGCTTCCATAAATGCGAATTTGTTGCACTATTAACAAGAATTTACTCCCTACGCAAGCTGCAAATTATCTAGTGCCTGCTTGGTGTTCTTTTTTGTGTCCTGGAACTTGGTCCTGCGGCAGGAATGGGTGTCCTTGGGTCGGCAGGTGGCGCGAGTCGAGTTGCCATGCCGGCCAGCAGGTGGCGCCTAGGACTTTTACTCGGTTTTAATAACGCTAGCCTTGATGATGTTAATAATGTTGCTGGGTGATTACCATTTATGGTGCTTCTTGTTGTTGCTCCTGCTGCTCCTTGTGCACCTCCTGCTCTTGGTCCTGCTGATGTTACCATGGCTGCAACTTCAGGACCAAGCCGCATTGTTAATAGAGATGTAGATAGAGTTGAGGCTGCCTGTGGTGCCGCAAAGTGTTGCCAGTAATTGCAATTTGTTTGTGCGCCCCTTGCTGCAGCAATCTAAGTTGGATTCTCATTAGAGCGACCGGACAAATCTCCATTGCTCCTCTGCCCAAACTGTCAGCTCAGCATTGAGTTTCAGCGGGTCCGCAATCGAAGTCCTGTCAATCGAAGACAGGAACACACAAAGCCGCAATAAAGCGAATCGCTGGCGACTTGCAAATTCAATTAGTTAATCCTCCGAAATGGTTGAAATTCTACCGTGGGGACATACGCTGATAAGTAAGGATAAGGAGGAGCACGTAGCCACTGCAGGATAACTTGGCATGTGGCATGCGTCATGCACTGTGCACCATGCACCATTTGCTCCTTCGACTATTGTTATATCGTATTTGAGCAAACGCTGCCAACTGCAGGACCCCGAAAATCGTTATAAAACATTCGGCTTCGACTTTGACAGCTTGCGCTCCTTGTGCTCCATGCAAATGCCAGGCACGTTGCCGACGACAAGGGGGCGTGGCAGCAGGCCAGGACCGTAGCCAAAATGCCAAAAAGGATGCGCCGGCGAAAGGTGCCACGGATGTTCGATTGATGGTGGCAGCTTCTAGTCTACCAGCTCCCGAGGTGGAGTCTCTGGAGCGGATGTGCTGCGACAATATGCTGAAGCAGCGCTAATTTTTTTCTTATTTTTCTGGCAGCTTACGTGTGGCCACGCCCACTCAGAAAATAGGAGGAACCATAAGTAGTACACAAAGAAAAAAAGGATGACAGTCAATGTTTAAGTCGAGTTCTGGCAAAGAAAGAAAAGAACAATTTTATTTTAAACTGGTTTTCTTACTTAGGATTTGGATTTCTACATAGTTTGTATATAATTTCTGTTATTAATGTAAGCATTTTTACTTTGGTAAATCAGGAATTTTACCAAAAAGGTATGACCTTTTCCCTAGCTGGGTGTCTAAAAGTGAAATTATACGAAAATCTTAACATTAAACCAGTTTAGGTGAGAAAATATAGTTTAATAACTGCTCCTATAAGAACTTTATGAATAGTAAAACGGAGACTTAAATGCGAAAATGGAAAATATGAGAAGTTTAGATTTTCCTCTGTGCACCATAACCATAAAGCAAAGTTAAAGCTGAGAGTGTGTGTGAGCGGAAATAATAATCGTCAAATTAATACGCGTCGGGAATTTCGCAAGGCTCCAAAACGGTGCTTGGCAACCCTGGAGGCCTTCGTCTGACCCGCCAAATCCCGAATACGTGCGAGCATTTAAAGCAAAAACAAATAAAACTTAAGTGCTGCATGTGTGTGAAAATGTTCTTTGGATTGAGGTGTTTCTGGAGATGGGGTCCTGGGAATCGGATCCGACCCACTCAGGTGTCCCGCCAGCCTTATGGTTAATCCGATCCCCGGCTGCTTAATCAGCTCCGGCTGCTTGGCCAAGATAACCGGGTGAAACGAATCTTGAAATCTGGAGCAGAAGCAGTAGAGAAGGGTAGAATGGGGAAAACTTGGGCACCCGGACATACATACATCACTTTGGCCCGAAAAGCGGTCGGGGCCATCAAATTTCAGTCATAACAATAACACTGATAGTCCCCCGCTCGTAAAATAAGACCCGGCCAACCCTTTTTTGGGGAACTGGCCGGGATTTGTTGCCGTCCTCATGTGTCTCGCTAGCTGCTGCTACCGCCTCTGTTGTTGTTTCAGCCCCAGCTTGGAAAACAATCAAGAGAACGCGACACTAAAAACCACGCACGTTTTGGCCCTCATCCTTTGCCGGAGACACAGAAATTCGACAATGGCACTTGACGTTCCTGGGGAGTCCGGGTCAGGGTTTCAATGGTAGAGTAGGAGGAGGAGTTGCTATTGCGGTGGAGGAGGGCAGGTCAAAAGGCGACGCCTAAAGCATTTAAATCCTTTTCGCACTTTCAACTGTCAGTCGCTGCTTGCCTGCCTGCCTGCCTGCTTGTTGCGTGTGAATTTCCATTTTGGACTATTTCCGGGGACCACACTGCGTATGACGTATGGAATGAAGAGGATTTCGGTGGAAATGGCAGTGGAGTTTTTTGGTCGGGCGTCACGCTTAATTTTTGGCCTCGTCGTTGGTTTTAGTGGGGTATAAGGCCGTAAAATAGGAATTTGCTTTATTAAAATTTTTCGCTTGAAAAATATGAGACAACGCAGATGAGAGCGATGAAAACACACACAGCGAAAATTTGCTGAGAGGGGGAGGAATGGGGGAGTCAAGGATATTTCGTAGGGGTTCCTTCTTCGCCTGCAGAACGAGGTAAAAATTTACTCAACTATGAACTCCCCCAAAAACCAAACATGTGTGTGTGAATGTGTTTTTGTGCGTGCGGGGAAATAGGCAAAAATTTGCGACAGGCCGAAGGTTATGTTGATCCTTGTCTGCTGGGGCTGTTCCTGGCACACTGGTAAACTGGCTAAACTGGAATCCTGGCAAGGGTTTTCGGCTCTCGGAGCTAGCTCACTCGTCTGGGTCTGACAGATGCCAACCCCGAACACCCCCATATAGCCCCCCTCTTATCGTGTAACAACGAAATTTATATAAATTGCCCGTAATGCTGCTGGCTGTTCGACAAAAGCAGCAACAACAACAACAGCAACGGGAACATCAATCCGAAGGACGGAGGGTTGGGTAAATTGTTGTTGATTCCCAGCTTGTTCCATCCACATTCTTTTGCCAAACAAATTATGTACGAAAAAGGCAAAATAATGAAATCGTAAAGAGTTTGGCAACGAATGAGTTCCTAACCCGGCTGCTCTCTGATATTTTTCTTATTTAAAATTCATTTCTGTCCCGTCCTGGCCCCCCCAACAACCTCCACCCACTCTCTAACCCCACTCACTTGGCCACCCCAAGCCCAGTCTGTCCTATTTGGAACCATCTCCAACCCATCTCCCCCTCTTACAGACATGATGCGTATGCAAATTGCTGGCCATATTAATCATTGCCAGTTGGTAGCTCCAGTGCTAAGTTTTATTTTATTTCCATCTTTTTTTTTTTGCTGTTGTTGTTGTTGTGTTTTCTACGAGAAAGTGCCAGAGGGAGAACGGCGGCGGGAGAGGAGTGGTTTGGCCAGATTTAAAACTGCATTTCGTTGCTTATAAATAAACAGAGCCCGGGCGGGCACAAGAAATAGTCTCTGCTGGAAAATTTATGAAAGCGCGAATAAAATGCTCGTTTCACGGAACGGGAAAATGCTTTTTTCGGTGGGGATTTTAGGACACTAAAAACAAGTGCAGCTGCCTCGTCTGACGACCGTCGCGTTAAATGCTTTTGTTGATTTTAGATGCGCCACTGCCTCGGGGAAAAGCTGACACCACCCCGCCATTCCCCAAACCCTTTTTTCCAACCATCCAGCCAACTCGCACAATTTAATAGTTTCGGCGGCAAGAAATGAACTCCACAACTGCAGCAGTCTGCAATGTGTCTTGGCAAACAGACACGGACAGTGGACCATGGACTACGGACAACGGACTGCGGACACGGATACGGACCACACCCACAATTGGCTTTTGTGGCACGGCAAACGCGCTTTTTCGTTTTGGGTCCGGGAAATGTGTTTGTTTTTCATTAAAAGAGAACGGAACGGAACGGAACGAAGCGTTTCTGGCCAAGTTTTTGCCCAGTTCTTTTTTAAGGCAGATGGAAACGGTCAAAGTTCGGCCGCAAAGCCCGGGGGCTCCGACGGGGAAGAGCTTTGTGGAATGTCCTGTTTTATTGCGGTCGGGATTCGCTTTGACTGGGCTCCAGGCCATGGGCAATGGGCAATGGGCACTGGGATCGCGGACTTTGAGTAAACACATATTTCATAATTCATCATACGGCGCTGCGATAGAAAGTCACGTTTTTAATAGAGGACCCAACGGACGCACAGACCGGAGACAACAAATGGCCGCGAGGACAATTAATTAAGTGCATCGCTAATGAATCACTCACCCTCCTTTTTTCTCTCTCTTTGTCCCGTTTTTAGCTGTCATCATCCTGGCCAGCATCCCCACTCCCAGCCACGCCCAGCAGCAGAAGTTCCGAACCACGCCGCACGACCTGCAGGTCCTTGAAGGAGCCGAGGCCATGATGCGATGCGAAGTGGCCAATGTGGCCGGAGCCGTTCAGTGGACAAAAGATGGTTTCGCCCTGGGCTTCTCGGCGGTAATTCCCGGCTATCCACGTTACTCCGTGCTGGGAGATCGAAAGCAAGGCATCTACAATCTGCGCATCTCAAACGCCTCGATCAACGACGATGCCGACTACCAGTGCCAGGTGGGACCGGCGAGGCTCAACAGTGCAATCCGAGCCAATGCCAAGCTTACCGTCATATGTGAGTATTATTATCCTTAAAACCAAGTTTAAGAACCAATATATTTACCATTACCTTACATCATAAAGCATTCATGCATATTCAATCCAATTTCGATGGTATTTTATCAACATTCCATTTTTTCATTACATTCCACGAATTTTAATTTGAGTTAAGGTGACTTTGACTTCCATTAACAATTCAGCTCGAAAGCAATATCCGACTGTTTTTCTATTCAGAGTCCCAAGAGCTCGCTAGTATATGAAAGGAAATCGGCACACAAAGTGCCATTACCAAGTCCTCTAGCCGTGAACCCCCTACATGCTTCATCTTTAAACACACCACCCACTCAATTGAATTTACCCCTTTTGTCGGGTTCGCCTTTTTCTGGGGGGCTGCAATTAATTTAAGTAATAAATACAAATGAATTTGTCACCAGGGGCGCCTCACACTGCCACACACACATACATATGGATGTACATCTATACAGTGGCACACATTCCGGCTGTTTCCTGCTCATTGCACCTATGGAATTCTACTAGTGAAATTTAAATGCGGGTCCCCCATCTACTATGTAGTATACCCTACCCAAACCTAGTACCTGTCGTTCCACTCCCACATCTTCCATCCCTGTCGCTGCCAACATTTATTGTCAGCAATTTGCAAAACAACAGCAGCAACAACAACAGCAGGAGCTACAGAAGGAGGAGCATCACTGAGCTGAGCTGAATTTAGCGCAGTTTATTGCTCCAAGGAGCCAAAGTGGGTGGAAAACCAAGGGGGCGCTGTCGGTGTGCTGGATGAGCTGCTAGCTGGAAACTGGGATCTGTTAGCTGGGAAAATGGGGCTGAATTTTCACTGCAGGCAAAGCGATGTGAAATGAATTCCTTTTTGTTTTAGCCTCTCGTTTTGCCTCGTTTTTGGGCTGTTGCATTGTCGTCTAGCAATCACTTTGAATGTTCTGTTGCCTTTGCTGTTGCTGTAATTGTAATCACTCAAGGAATTGCGCTACATTTGATGACAGCGATTTTCATTTGGCCCGCTTCGTTTGGTCCTTCCAAGGAATTTTTCCTAGACATCAAGAGACTCCATGGCTACCATGCGGTGTATATGTATAGCATACATTCCGGGGCCCAAGGCCCACGCACTCACACTCACTTAAGCTCACACACACGCGCACACTCCTAATGACGTTTGTTTAGTTAATTACGCGCCATGAGCTGTGACAATGGCGACGTGTAAGTGTATGTGTGTTCGAGGCCTTGAGGGGCAGAAAAGAAATCAAGAAAAAATAATCCGACTTGGGGATACTTATCTTAGGGATCCTCTTACAACCATAATAAACCTTCTTAAAATCAAGGAAGTCTATAAAACCCCTTAAAACAATTTCCAAATTTATTAATTATCTTTAACAAGTATAAGTACAAACCAATCACCTCACCTATATACCCTTGACTTCTTCTCATACCGTGTAAAAAAATAAAATAAAATAAAATAAGGAAAAAACCAAGCACAGCATAGATGAGGATGGCCGTGAAGAGGAGGAGTTAGATTCTCGGCTGAGCTTGTTAGTGCCTGCAAGTTGTTGTTGGAGCGGCGAAAGGTCGCTCGTCACATGACATGTTTGCCATAATTGTGGATACTTGTGTGAGTGCCAACCCACTCCCCTCCCTTTCCCACACCCTTTGTTTCGTAATGGAATCTTCTTCTTGGCTATCACAAATGACATGTGTCTGTGCCCCCCAGTCCAAGGTATTTGGGCATACCAGCAGTAGATGTGTGTGGGTTGAAGGCACGTGCGACATTATTGCAGCAATTAGCTGAGGGGAAATGTGGACAAATGCCTAATAATTCAATTAAGTTCGAATTACATTTGTTCGATTTATTCATCTGCTCTTCGTAGGTTATAAGAATGAGTAAAAGTTTTTAAAAATTAATTTTATGTCTGACTAAAACTCTACCTTATTTAAACTTTTTTTTGTGAAGTTTCAACTACAAATTTGTGCCTTTCACCTTCAGAGGCTCTCTCCTTGTAATCTCAACTTAAAAGATATGATTTAATTAAAACTTTCTGCAGATAGTCTATTAAAAATTAATAGCACTCACCTTTTGTCCTGCTCAAATTTAATTTTCTGACTCCGTTACAAAGTTTCTGCAGCAATTTGGGTGTAACACTGCCAGTGCTTATGTTAAAGTTCCAAAAATTTATTCCGCACTCCCACAAAAACACATCTATATATATAGTAGAGTATATAGTACATACCTATACTTATACATTTATATATATATGTATGGGTAAAAATAAACGTGAGGGCGCAATTAGATTATAAGTTTGGCAAAAGCAAAGAACTTTTGCACACAAAAGTCCACGTGCAAATTTATGGAAATTCCCAGAAAATTTTCGCATGCCATTAATTTAAAATACAAAAAAAAAAAGAAGAAAAAATAATGGAGCCAAAAACACATATGCCGCAAGGCAACTGCAAGGTCCATGTCCATGTCGTGGTCCGAATCCAAGAGCTGAAAACTTTTTGTGCCCGGGCAGCGGACAATGGCAAAACGGCAAATGGAATGGCCAGGAAAATGTGGAGGGCAAATGCAGCAGCCCACCTTTTGAGCGTTTATAAATTTTTGACTACAATGCAGCACGAATTTAAGTTGGATTTCCTTCCTCCAGCCAATAGACGCACTTCATTGATTTTCAAATGTCCGCACATTTTTCAAAAACACACCCACTTTCGACTACCAAAATAAGGTAGAAGAAGAAACCCCTCCCCCCACCACCTTTGTAATTGAAGTGCAAATGAGGAAAGTTTTCATCTGCCGGCATTCTCCGGGAAATATCGCCCGACATTTGTTATGTGAGGCTGACCTTAAAGTCAGCCCCGAGCTCCTTGGGTCGCACTCCGGGTGTGACTGGGCCTGATGGCTCAACTTACATCACAGCCAGCCAGTCATCAAGTCAGCGCAGCGCAGCTCCCTTGGCCCAAACGAAAAAAAATGGCCAATTCTTGCCCTCGCCTTTTGCTTTGGATTGAGATTGGGCTGCAGTGGGTGGGCGGCAGCTTGGTTTGGGTTTTCTAGTGAAAAAGGGCTGGCGAAAGTATTCCGGCGCATAAAACTTTTATGAGGCGTACTATTAGTGGGTTAGCCGGGGTGTCGTTGCCCGAGGGGCTAGAGAAACCGAGTGGTCCAGTGTTCATGGCAAATTGCACTTTGTGTACTCTCGCTAGCCAGGAATCCGGCAACTGGAGCTGGATAGAGCTCAAGCTCTGCCTTTCCCGCTTCTGATGCTGTTGCTGCTGCTGCTGCTGCTGCTGCCAGTGCCGTTATTGCAGCCATTGTTGCATAAATTATTTGATGCCAGCCAACAGTGCACTCAAAGAAGCTCCATGCACTACCAACACCCTCGAAATCCACCCACCACTGTCATGTGGGGGCGCGGCTTATGCATAAAATTTAATCAACATTTAACCTTAACCAAGCCAGCTCAGTTTGGCCGAATTTTCACCTGATGCGGCTCGAATCTAAACCAGGGCACTCCAACTAACTTGTTAACGGCAGATTGCTATCAACATTTTTTCATCTATGAGATTTTTTAATATGTTTTTACTTTCTGTGTATTATCAGTTTTTATGATGATGGTTTTATGTTTTTCTTTTACAAATTTTCTTTTATAACAACCAAAAAAGTATATCATTTTTGCATTGAACTTAATACTGTTTTGTGCAGTTTTCTTGGCCTTAATCTTTAGCCTAAATTGTTGTCAATTTACCAAAACGATAACCTTTTCCATCTTTCTTTCTATTGGAAACAAAAGTATTTTAAATATGATAGAGTTAAGTTCTAGCAAATCAAGTCTTCTACGATTTACACTAACAATTTCGTTGCCTGGCAGCTTCTTCTACACTCCCACTCGACCACTGAGCCCTCTTATTGTTCCTCTTGAAATGGCTTCACCTGCTCGTTTGTCAATAATCAAATACAATATGCATACCAATCAACAATGCACATACCCCACGTTCCACGATCCACACGCACTTGCATGTGTATATGTGGGTACCTCCTACTATATAGATGGAGATATAGATATAGATATAGATATATATCTGTAGAGGAATGGCAGGCCACGCTTTGGCATAAATCGAGTTGCATTTGCCCAGGACTTGGCGCAAGAAAAAATCATAAAATGTGCATATATTTCGCATTTTAACTATGCAGCACGCGCAGTGCCACGCCCTGTTCCCTCGATGCCGACCCTCCCTTAAAAGCCCTGCCACGGTGTGCCAAATATTATGAATTTTCAATGCACGTAACACCCCCGCAATTCCCTCGAAAGTCCCCGGACAATCTGTATAGCCAGCGGTGCCACGGCGACACCAATTTCGGCACACAAAGCCTTTAGTCAAGGTTGATGCTGGATGTTGGATGTTGGATGCTGGATGGATGCTGGCTGGAGGATGATCTAGGGTTGCCTTTGGCATTTCCTCAGGCAAAAGGGTTTCGTTTCGCCAGGCATAACAAGCAACGCATCCGTATCTCTGGCCTTGGAAAAATAAATCGAAAAATATCCAAATTTTTAGCCAGTTTTCAGTAGATTCTTTTGCACTCAAAGGCCGAGCAAGTTAATTGAAAAAGAATAGAAAGAAAGCAACTCCATTGGTTTCAATATTTATCTACCCTTCTTGGAAAGTATATAACGTATATAATACGTCATTCATTTTAAGCTTAAGCCCCTCTTCTCGTGACTAAAATCAATAAGAAATGTACATCCTGAAGGCAAATGAAGTGAATCAATCAATTACCAAATATTTACTTGCATCAAAATCTTAATTTTTTACTTCACTGAACTAAACCACAAGTTTATTCACTTAAAGGACAAGCAAGAAGTACATGCTTATATTAAAGTCATGGCACCTCTGGGTATCTTTGTTAATAAACCGGAAAATCATCGACTTTTATGGTAGGATGCCGCCATTGAAAAGATGAAGAAAAGGAAATACCTGGGCCTCCTGATTTCCAAATTACATTCATGTATTTGATTTGTTGCATAATAATTTGAGCAGCTGGCGGCGATGCTAAACTAAACTTAATCAAAGGGAAAGGGACACCGCCCTTGTGGTGTTGATTTCATTTGTGCCGCAACAAAAGCAATTACCTCTACGCGTAAGGATGTCGCAGACAGGGGTTCCTTTTGGCCCCCACCCATCTTGAACCACCACCTTGAGCTGGGTGGGGAAGGTAACCATGGGACTCCTTGTGCGACATTAAGCATTCATTTTGCATGCAACAACTTCTGGAGCAGTTCGCGGAGCAGACGGCAACATATGTTGCATGTCAAATGCAAGAATCCTTAGCATGGTTGGTCGGAGTGGTGTAGGCTCCTAGTCCTGCTCCTACTCCAGCTACAACTCCTACTTTTCCCGCTTAGCGTGCGATGGCAATGGCAGCCAAACTCCTTCAGGTGGCATTAAAATAATGCACACGTGCACTTAACTTTATCCACGTTCCTCGTTGTTTGTTTCGCTGCACGCTCGTACTTTCGTTGGTTCGTTTGTTTGTTTGTTTCTGCATCTGCTGCATTCATGCACCACCCACTAGGCACCACCCGGCGTCACTCAGCCATTGTTTCGCCGGTGGCTCGTGTATATTTCAACAGTTTGCCAAGGCATGCCGGCTCAGGCATGTTCATGCACCATCCCCTCTGCCCGCCCCCGCCAAATTCCCATCTCAACGTCGTCGTTCTCTTGAGCGCAAATATTGAAACTCATATTTGAGCACATTAACGAGGGAACTGCCTACACGGAGAGAAAATCATTGGAAGTTTTAAGAGTTTAATATAATAAAAAATCATCTGATATTAATCTTATCACATTCAAAAACGCTTTTAATTATATATAAAATTACCCTTTACTGCCAAGATTTATATAAAATGATTACCAGGTTGATCATATTTTGCTAAGTGCATCAGTAGATGGGCCTTGTCAAGTGGGTGGTTAACAAGGACGGAATGCTGCGTTCTTGGCGCAGTCTTCACAAGCCTTTCCCACCCACTTCCCCCCTTCCCCCCTACCCTCATCCACCCTTTCCAATTCCAACTGCTGTTTCTGTTTCTGCATCGGCGGCCATTCAACCTGGGCCTTCAACAACAATGTCGTCTGTCGTTGCATACATACAATGCATTAGGCAGTGCCACGCCCACGACGCCCACAAAACGTCCTGTAATGCCATTGTGGCCCATAATGAGCAAAGCTTCCCTGGCAGCCATTAGCTTTTGTTTCAACCTCAGCACCACCGCGAACTTCCTTTGTGGCCCAAACCCCTAATCGTTCCAACTGCTTCTCTCACTCTCTCTTCCAGCTCCGCCAGCCTCGATCGAGATCAAAGGTTACAGTCACAATTCCAAGGTGGAGGTGCGCGAGAACCAGGACCTGCAGCTCAAGTGCATCGTGGCCAATGCTAAGCCGGCGGCTCAAATCGTCTGGTATCGCGGCAATGTGGAATACAAACCAGGTTAGTAGCAACTAAGTCATTAAATTTAATCACCAGCCATGCACCATCATCATGCGGACAAGATGGCTTTTATAACGCGGCTGTCGCTTAGGGCATATCAAGAGCTGATCTGCAAGATGTCGGTGGTTAAAGAGAGACTTCATCTCAAAAGTTAAAGTTAAACTTTAAGGGAAAAACCAAAGAAACCAAACTAGAAATAAACAATAGGTTAAGGCAATAAAAAAAGGTAATAATATTTAATAACAAAACCTTTTTCACATTCCAAGATAGAAGACAGTCCGTCCTAAGATAGCCCAGCTATATGAAACTGCCTAAAACAACATAGGTTGTACGAACATAACCATATACATTTTCTCTTCGAAGGCATTATGCAGAATACAAAAAGTGTAAATGGGTTTTGGCCAGGCCCTTTTTAGCCGGGGATAAGTGCGGATACGGATGAGACGGGACCGTGAAGGTGGCAAAACCGGAATGAGGACGATGCCAGTGCAGATGGAGATGAAGCTGGAGATGGGCAAAGTGACGCCTGTCAACCGTTTTGGCCATCGCACATGTGATATGATGGAATGAAAGGGAATGAGAGCGGGGGTGGCAGCAGGATGCGAGGGTCTGACAGGATGCGGGGGCGACAGGGAAATGGACGTCGACTTTCGGCCTGATGACGGTGCTTAAATAATAATTTTATACTCCAACAAAGCGCCGACTGTCGATGTTCGGCCCTTATCTGCTGTGCGGTTCGCTGTCCTGTCCAGAGTCCTGTCCAAAGTCCAATGACCAACGTCCAGGGTCCTGAGTCCTGGGTCCTGTGTTTGTGCCTTGTCATTTAGCCGCTGCTGGGCAGTCAGCAAATTGGAAAACAGTGCTGCTGGAAAATATGGAAAAATGCAAATGTCAATGGGTAAATGGGCTAAGCGGGTGAGCAGCGGACGATCCCATCATCACACGGCGCTTAGCCGCCTTCACGACTTTTAATTTTCATAATGATTATGGCCCCCATCCACCCCCAGCAACAACAACAGCAACAAAAACAACTAACAACCAAACATCCAACAACATGTGGGTGGGCCACCCTTTTAGGGTGGCGGATTTTCTGTTCCTTTCCTGCCATTTGGCCAGTAACGAAATCATTTTAGCACAACTGGCGCGTTAAAAATGCTTAAAATGTGAAACGCACGGCGACAGCGACGATGATGATGGAAATTTTTCGGGTAAACATATAAAAAATGAAAAACAAAAAACGAAAAACGAAAAACGAAAAACGTAAAACAGAAAAACAACAAGACCAGCCAGGAAGAGGAAAGAAAATTCGCAAAGCGGCGTTAAAATGTAGGAAAATCCGCATGGAAATGTGGACAGCGGAAGGAAGCTGCATGATGAATTATGTTTATGACGCAATATGTTGCGGCAGGGACTCCAACTGGACCCCATACCCCATATACATATATCCCTGGGTCCAGGGTTTACGAGAATGGCCAGTTTTGGTCTGGGTTTTGTATCATTTGCAAGCTGTCAGAGGCGTGTGTATGTGTGTGTGTTTTTGGTGGGGACGCGTAAATGGCGGTTAATGTGGGCAGACGGCCATCTTGGTGATTACCCCGAAGCAAAATACTGGTTTGGGTGATGCTGTTGCTCCACCATGATAGTTCTTGGCCAGTGGGTGGGGCACATTTTTTAGGCCACACTTTTCCAAGCAGATGAGGCTCGTTCAAAATTTATAACTGAAAATGATGTCACAAAATGGTCTTGCTGGTGTGGGATTGATGACAGTTCAGAAATACTTATATCTCAAGGCAGTAAACTTTAGCACTTTCTTGCCAAATGCAGTAAATATAAATCGATTGAGGCAGTAAGTACTTCGAAAGGAAGTAAAAAAACTTAAAAAAACATTTTTAAGTAGATATATAAATCCTTAAATCAAATTTATTTGACAGAATTTAAGTCCCTTTAATATAAATACATTTAAAAGTCCATGCAAATACCTGTTAATTAACGAATTTCCCTGATTTCGTTTACAGAAAAACGCGAGGATAATGTGGAGGAGTCGACGGCCAAGAGATTTACCACAACCTCGAGCCTTAAACTGAAGCCGGGACCTGATGATGATTACACGGAATACACGTGCCAGGCGAAGCACAAGGCCCTGTCGCCGGACATGCCCATGCGGGCCACCGTTCAACTGTCCGTGTTGTGTGAGTAGCTTCTCAGCCTTTCCACTGGCCATCTGTTTTGGGTTGGTCCAAAAACGACCTCCGAGTATCCAAGAATCACAGAATCGCAGATTTTGAGGGGTCGTGTGGGTGACCTCATTAGCCGGCTCAATTTGCTATACAATTGAACGTGCGTGCTGGGGTGTGCGTGTGTGTGTGTGCCAAGGGGAAGTCCCCAAAGAAGAACAGGCTGCCATATTTGAGGCACTGAAAAAATCTTATATATAGGCCGATTGTCGGATATTTTGAAGGAAATCAAACCATTACTTATGTCTTTTGGCATAAAAATTAACTTAAAACATAATTTTCTTTCAATTCCAATTTCTGCTTTTCAAAATTTTGATTTAAATGCCGCTCAAATGGATTCCATAAATCAACTTTTAATTGGATTAAACTCAAATTGGCCATAATTTCTTTCAGTGCAGGCAATGAATTTTTTGCCTGGCCCAATGCGGATGCCATTTGCCATCACGGCCGCTAATTGCGCGATTCGGGCGCGTATTAATTAGTTTTTAAATTCTAATGTGCCGCGCAGCTGCCACTGGCAATGTGGATGCGAATTGCGTTGCTGCCACTGCTGTGCTGCTGCTGCTCTTGCTGCTGCATGAGAACGCGAGCCATTACGAATGCCAAAAGTCCTCTTATTGATTGTTGCCATTGGCAGTGGTGGGACTGGTGGTGCCAGTGGTTGACTCCAGGCACCTGCAATAGCCATGGGCAACTGGATATAGCGATGGCTATGGCGTTGGCTCCACCTGCACACGCACATTCAAATTAATTATGTTTGTTATTTATGCATAGGCAGCTGGCAAATGGTGGCCCCAACTGCCACAGTTCGTTGGCCATTTCCCAGTCAGCTCGTCGCGAATGTAATTGGCAAAAGCAAAAAAAAAAAAAGAAGAGCGGGAAAAACTGGCGAAAAATCCAGCCATGCTATCTGGAAGTTCAGGCAGGACGGTCCGAAAAGGGTACCAGAACGGGATATATACCCTTTCATTTTCCCCTTCCTGTGGGGGCTTAATTATGGCGCTATTATTGCTTCCTCACTGCCTCATCTCGTAGCCGCTCGTACAATATTTCAAGTGATTTTAATTTAATTTTTCGTTGCATGCCTGCGGGGGTTGCACACGTTCATGTGTGTGTGTGTGTGTGTGTTCGTATATGTAAAGAACGTGTGTGTGTGTGTGCTTGGCAGCTTTTATGCCTCACCTGATTGCTGCTGTTGATTCAATACGGTTGACCGCTTGTCAAATTGTGATAAAGAAAATATATTACAGGTCCATAGCAGCCGGATAAGAGTTAATGTTTTTCCAAAGTTTTCCCCAATGGATTTTCTGCTTTCGGCTCCAGCCTTTTCTAGTTGCTACCAATTATATTCCATCCGCTGATAATTTCCAAATGTATTTAACACGTACTGTCGCTGCCTTTTTCCACTGCTTTGTGGTATTTTACACTATTATTAATCGCCCACTGCGACGCCCACAACATGTGAAATTACCAAACGCCCAAAACAAAAAAAAATGAGTCAAAATCGGAAAATCGGAAAATAATGCATATGACCGCATAAACGATTTGCATGCAAACACTTCAATTAAAAACTGTACGAATTCCAGCTGCATATGTACACAGATGCATTCCCCGCACTTTACTTTAGTGTAAATTGAATTTATTTGCGGACAGCAGTTGCAATTAAATATGCGAACTGTAAACACACAGCAACATTTTACCTCCTTCCCACTATTCTTCAATGGAGTTTTTCAAACCGTGCACTCTGTTCTAATCCCACAGATCCCCCAGGACCGCCATATATTGAGGGTTATTCGCACGGTGAAACTCTGCGACGCGGCCAGACTGTGGAGCTCATGTGCCGGAGTCGCGGCGGCAATCCGCCTGCCCAGCTCATCTGGTACAAGAACGGATCTCAGATACGAATGGCCTACAGGTAAGCCATATTATAAATATTATTTAAGTAAATTAAATATTGTTTACAGTCCGAAAATTAAATAAATTAAATTAACTTAACTCAATGCATGGGATTCATAAAGCTTTTCATATTCACAACTTTTGTTTCTCCTTTCATTGCAGGACCTCTGGCCGCTTGTCCGAGAACATCTACACCTTCACCGCCGAGGCCGGAGACAACAAGGCTCGATTCCGCTGCGAGGCCAGCAATGTGATGTCGCAGAATCCTTTGAAGGCGGAAGTAGAGCTGTCTGTGCTGTGTAAGTCGAGTTCGAAGGCAATCATCTCCAGCTCTGTCTCCAATTTACGCCGCCTAATTGCGCGTTGTTCATATTCATATACGACCGGGCTGAGTAGCATATCAGGTTTAATGGGTGTCTAGATTACAGGCCAGGATGCGGGAAATGGGAATCGGAGAGCACAGCCACACTCTGCGATGTGGGGAATGGATTGTGTCAACAGCCTGGCTTGGCTGCGACATCTACCAAATTCCACAGAGCCAGCCAGCACTTGGCAGGCGACTCACACACAGATGTTCGAGGATTTGGAGGAGGAGCAGCACGAGGTTGGAATCCCTAGGAAATAAGCCTGGCAACTAGCTCGCCTGGCTGTTGCTTTCTTTTGCAATTAAGCTTAAGTTTGCACTTTGAAAGCCTCTCCAGTCTCCGTCCCACTTGGCTTTGTCAAATCAAGCAATGCAAATTCTTTTCAAGTGCCAAATAGCGCAGAGCCCCGCCTTCTTAGTCCCTCTGTTCTCGGTCCTAGGACCTCTGAACCCCTGAACCTCTGAATCTCTGAACCAAGCCGTTGCAGCTTGTTAGAGTTACAACAATTGCAATCAGGCACACAAAGCCGACGGGCGGAACGACGCGGTGCCAAAGTCGTTAGCGACACTTGGACAGACGGTTGGACGGACTGACGGAGGAGACCAGCAAACATTTGCATGCCACATCCCAACCTGCCACAGCACAAAACCCCTTCGCTACTTACGCTCATATGTCTCGTCTCACATGCAAATGGATGAGGCGGCCGTTCAACGCGGCGTATGCGCGATATTTAAATTTCAAGTGCTCGGCAGTCCGCTGAAATTGGCATCTTTTACCTGAAGCGGGCTTTAAGTGCGTGGAGGGTTACTATTCCGTCCTCTGGTTAGGCTAAAACGAAAAAAAAACTCGTTTAGCTGGCAGCTTCCAGTTTATGCGCATACCAATCAAAGTGCCATACAGGTCAGGCCTGCCCACTCGGCCCCATCTTGCCCCAATAAGTATGCCACATTGAGTGGCCAGCACAAACGAATACACGAACAGTCGCACACTAACACGACACTGAGAGAAAAAATGGCGTTATTGGATGGTTAAGCTTGTTCTTTTCGTGATCCTGAAATTTTAGTAACTCTTTTTTGGTTTTTAAAGACATTCCAAAGTAGTTAATACTTTTAATAACATCATATGGGATTTATTTGTTAAGAAAAATATAAGATTTTTGAATTGGCACAGATATGTTTACTTAGAAAAGTTCCAGCTTAGATTCAATATCCTTTTTGATAGATAGTTTCGTTCTGTGTATCAGATAGATAGCAGATGTGGCCTCAGCTGGCGGCCCGGGCTCTTAGCACACGCATTATTTATGTATAACGAATGTGGAACAACAAAACTGAAGACGTAGCAGGAATACATTCAGCATCAGCATTCTTTTGCCCCTCACGAGTGTGCCAGGGTGTGTGCCCGGAATGAAGATGTATGGCTAAGACGGACCGACGAAAGATTCGAGAAGTTAAGAATTCATAATGTTTATTTATATGCGAAACATATCGAGTCGAAAGTTTCGTATTCCCCGCGTATGTCTATGTCCTTAGCCCACCCTACACCTCGGCTCATGCCTCATACCTCATTCCCTATCCAAAGCCCAAGACAACGCTGCGTATGCGTAATGTATGCACTTATCCATCAAGGCAGCGGCAGCTGCAGCTGCTACTGCTACTCCGCTTCGATGGCATTAGGTAATAGCTCCGCAGACGGACGGACTGTCAGTCACTCAGTCATCATTTGCATGGAGGCGGCATCAGGAGCCGACATACGTAGAACATAGTACCTCCCCAAGGCTATTAGGCAAACGGGAAACGGGCTTTCGGGCACACGGGAAACCAGGGCGGCTCTCGGATTCGAGCCGGAGGATAGGAGATATATTCGTGTGTGCCTGCTACGAGCATGCCGCAAGTGAGCTCGCCGCAAACCTATTACATATTAATGCCTCCTTCATTATGCGACTCCCCTGTAACTGGAATCAACCGAAAACCTTCATCGTTCTCCATTTTCCCCCCTAGTTGCACCCACCCACGTCACCGTAATGGGACCCACCGAGGCGCGCGTCGGCGATATTGTGCCGCTGACATGCACCACCGCGCCATCGAATCCGCCTGCCGAGATCAAATGGATGGTAGGCGGTAGGCAGGTGCGCAACGCCACCTCAAAGACGATTGTCAGTCCCGAGGGTAAGTGCCAGGGTGCCGGTGTGATGTGACATAATCTCCCGCCTAATCCATTTCCATCTCTGTCTGTCATCGCAGGCGGTTGGACGACCACCTCAAACTTCACCGCCACCGTGGAGCCGAACAAGCGCTCACTGGTCGTCATCTGTCACGGACTCAACATGCAGCTGACCGAGAACGTCGTGTCCACCCACACGATCAATGTGCTGTGTAAGTAGTCCCGTAGTTAATGAATATAATACCTCCCTTTTAAGCAAGAACAATATAATTAATTTGCCAAGCAGAGGGAAATCTTTATGAATTCATGAGGTGTCTTTGTTATATTCCTAATCCCCTAATCATAATTCAGAAAACTCGGAAAATAACTTCACTTCATTTTTAGTGCTCTTACATTTCGATTGATATATTCAAGTTATAAATTCTCAATTTAGCTGCTAGTTTTATTTCTTGATTTTCGACTTTTTACGACTTTTGCAATGGCAGAGTTTCCGATCTGTATATCTGAGTCGCAGCGCGAACTAGCCCGCCTAACGAAGGAGGAGCATTTGTCTGCTGAGAAGAAAGCGAAGGCTCCCAAGAAGGCTGCCAAGGCCAAGCCAAAGCCAATGCTGGGCGGTCTCTTGATGGTGAATCGCATGAAGATGTGGCGACAGCACAGGGAGCGAGTCAAGCAGGCCATCAGCACAGTGGACGCAGAGGCGCCACACTTTCAAGCGGCCCGCATCACTGGTGTGAATAGTCTGCGTGATGAGGCGCAGGTTTTCTTGAAGCGGACAAAGGCTAACATCCAGCTGCTGGTGGAGATCTCCAGGACCATGCGCACCCACGGGGCCATCAATCCGTTTCGGTACGAGATCGTTCACGCCGTCTCCGGTATTCCCGTCGCACTGCTTGGACTAGAGCAGTTGGAGAAAGATAATCGTGATTTTGGACGTCGTATTCTGGAGGTGAAGAGCGAAGTGGACTCTGGTCTGTTGGAAAAAAGGATGCCGGAGGGCAGGAACACGGCAACGGCGACTCCCCTGGAACTGCCTCCTCAGGCAATGGCCAAGTACGAGGCCTTCAATATCCCATTGCCCGAGTCGGATGATGAGTTGCGTCGGCTCTTTCGACCAAGGATTTACTTTGACTTATATTTGAAGGATGCCCGACCGCTGGGTAGGATTGTGATCCAGCTTTATACAGAGGCAGCGCCCTTAGTGGTGCTGCAAATGATCAAGTCCTGCATGTGCAATCAGCACACCAAGTTCTTGGTCAAACGACTTTTTCCCCACCTCTGGCTGGAAACGGATTTGTTGCTGGCGGCGGACTCACTGCTGCACCAGCCATTGGAATACGACGCCAAGGTTATTGACCACGGTGCCTCCAGCTATGTGTTATCCTTCAGCAAGGATTATGTCAAAGGATTCACCCACCACCTCTCATTTTCCATATCGTTCAAGCCGCTTACCGTGGTCAATGGATCTCGGGTGGGATTCGGACGGATTGTGAAAGGCAGCAAGATATGCGAGTGCATCCAGAGTTACGGCACTAAGAATGGAAAGCTCAGCCGGGGTCTCGTCTTCACCAGTTGTGGATTACTATAGATTGCAGTTGGTTCTTATAAATTGTTTTTATGTACAAGTAATCCTTTCGTAGGAGTAGTGTACATCGTAGTCAGTATATCGAAAATATTTGGGAATGATAAACAAATTGAGGAAAGAAATATAAATTTTAAATACATTTTAAATAATCCTTCAATCTTACTTCAATTTGTTAAGGAGTTGATTTGATGTTAGAAAACATACTTTGAAAAGCTAGCCATGTTTACGACGTCTTTCCTATACCCCTCACACACTCTTTTTAGTGACCCCACTAGAAGTCCGACTGGATGTACGCGTCCTGGACTTTGACACCACCCACTTTTGTTGCCGCAGAGTGACACTTCTCCGACGAGCGACAACTGCAAGTGTCTTAAACTCCATTATCCGATGTTCGGTGTCACTCTTCATTTGACTCAATTATAAGCGAAGGCAGCGACAAAAAACACGCAGGGAAAAAAATGGATTGCGTGGGGATGAGTACACCAGGATACTAGGATTGCAGATTTCTGGGGAAGATGAAGGAACTGACAGACAAAGTCACTCGATAAAAGGATGAATGGGTTTTGGTTTTCGATTTAGGGTAGTTTCGTGAGCCGATGCCGGGGCTTATTAATAATTCTAGTTTCGGTTTATCCAGTGAAAACACTCATCAAGGGCCTCCTTCCACCTTAGTCCCTCCGGTGGATGTCCTTTGTGATAGAGCTCTCCTGCAGCGCTAATTAATTTTTCTGACCAACATCACAGAGAAAAAGCAGCGGGAGGAGAAGTGGGTGGTCGGCGAGAGATTTACATTTATTACCCATACCGTGAGCACTGAAAATGACTAACAGACCCCCAAGGTAATGAGCGGACCGACCACACCCACACCCACACCCACCCCCACCGACCAATCAAGGACGAAGGACGCAACGATGTTGGTATGTGTGTGCATGGTCATGCCTTGAGGATGCGGACGCCCTGCGGATATTTTTACTTTATGCGCGGCAAATTAAATAATTTTAATTTTTATTGTTCGGCCACTCTTGGCAGCTCTCCCTCTTTCGGAGGACACAGCGGTGGGTCCTAGTCCTGGTCGTGATACTGGCACTGGGACTGGTACTGCTCCTCGTGCCTCCAAGTCCTTTTAGCTGTTATTGTTGTAGGCCATAATTTGCTGGCTCGTGGCTAAGTTTTTTGGGGGCCACAATTCGCTGGCCCATTTCCCCTGCTTGGCGGCGTTCTCTTTTGTTTGTCTTTTTTTCTTCTTTTTTTTTTTGTGCGAAATGGTACGTTTTTCTTATCCCACGTTGTGTGCTCTCCAACTGAATCCACAGATCCGCCCGCGCCGCCATTAATTTCTGGCTATATGGAGGGACAAATTATACCAGCTGGGTCGGTGCAAAAACTGCTTTGCGTTTCATCAGGCGGCAATCCGTTGGCGACGCTAACATGGTACAAAAACGACAAAAGGGTGAGTGCAGAAATTTCCCTTACCTTCTTTTTTGTCCGCCCTTTGTTTGCATTTTCCGCAGAAAGCTCACACACACACACACACACATTCACATAACAAACTGAACAAAGAGCAAGAGAGTAAGAGAGAAGCACTATCAACAGCAGGCAGCAAACATCCGCAAAACAATAATGGCGCTTTTGTTGACCATTTCCGCTTCCGCTTTATGGGCTTAAAGTGCTAATGAGCCACTGCAACCGTTCGCTGCTGATGCCAGAACGATTTCGGTTTTCACACCTTCCACCTAGCCGCCAATAATCGAGTGCAAAACTATCGTTAGAACTTTGAACAAAAGGTGGTGAATACGTTGGAAAAATAAAACAAGTCACCCGGCGAACAACCGCAGCTCATCAGCCCACACACTTATACGGCGGGAAAGTTGGGTGCTGATGGGTGTTGGCCTGATGGGTGGCATCTGGTGCACCTGCACATCCCCAGTTTTCAGGTGCGGCTTCCTGTTTTACCGTTTCCCATTTGTTGCGGTGTCAGAGTTTTCATCTCTGCCCCTCGGGGGACTCATCTGTGCGCCGTGTTTGCTCGCTCTCTCGTTTGCTCAGATTAGACGACGTTTTATCAGCGAAATTAAAATGCATCCGCCACCTGTGCTCTTAGGAGATGTTACCCAACAGCAAACAAAAAAAACTATAAGCACTCTTTCCCGCTGCAGATAAACTCGGTTATACGGGCGGCGGACAAATCGGTGTCGGCCGAAATCACCATTCTGGCGAACGTGTCCGACAACCAGGCCCAGTACCGTTGCGAGGCCTCCAACAGCGCCACCGAAATCCCGCTCTTCCAGTCCACCATGCTTAGTGTTCACTGTGAGTATACTTCGGTCAAGATACTATAAATTGGGGATTGATTTTAGCTATATTTTAACTATTATGATTAAGTTTTATGATTATTTTATAATAATAATTTAAAAAAGCTCATAAATTATTCAGATTTCAAATTTAATCGCAAACTTAAATAGTTTATAGTTTCTTAATACAATTTCTTGGAGTGTAGTTACTCTGCTTAAGACCTTTTGGAAGGGGGATTTACCGGCTGCTGCATCCTTTCTTATTATCCATTGGGGTGTGTGTGCTCGCTCTTTCAGTTGCCCCGGAGACGGTCAAAATACGCATTGAACCGGAAGAACTGCGACCTGGCATGGAGGCAGCCATCATCTGCGACTCCAGCTCCAGCAATCCACCGGCCAAGCTGTCCTGGTGGAAGGACGGCATCCCCATCGAAGGTACGTACGGTATGGCATGATGGCGTGGCCTGCGCCTGGCCTGCTCTTAGCTCTTTTGGTCCTGGCCAAGCGATTTGGCAATTGGAAGTTTGCCCATCGCAATTCGCCATGCCATTCGCTATGGACTTGCCGGCGCCGCCAGTGCACTTTGTTGGTGCGAGGCGTTTCCACGACAACATCCGGTTCGCTTGCCAGTCACTAAAATTACGCCCATTTCTTCTCCGCTCTCATTCCCATTGCCTTGCCCAATCCGGATCCTGTGTCCCTGTCCGCCCACCGGAACCACCGGCAATCCCATTCCCATTCGCATTGCCCCAACCCACAGGCATTAATAACACGTCCAAGCCGGGTCTCTGGGGCGGCACAGTCTCTACGTTAGAGTTCAGGGTAAACATCACACAGGAAATGAACGGCCAGGTCTACACCTGCCAGAGCGCCAATGAAGCTCTCCAGCGGAGCGTCCACGAGGCGGTCAGCCTGGATGTCCTGTGTAAGTACCTACTGCCTAATTGCTCAATTATATGGGATCGGCAGTCGAATCTATAAGTTATGTCACAGAAGTCCAAGAGAAATTGGGTTGACTATCTCGTGCTTAATCCTTCCTCAGTTTGGTAAGGAGTCCTAGAAATGAATTAAAAATTCTCAAGGATATCAGGAGCTTAATGTAGGGTCCTCAGCAGCTTAAAGATTCCTGTGACATTGAAAATAAATTCATTTCCTTCAATCAATTTGTGTGACAATCCTAAACTTGAACCCCCAGATCGACCCAAGTTCGTGCCGCCACCCTCCTCAACGGCGGTGGGCGTGGAGGGAGAATCGCTGCAGGTGTCGCTTCAAACTCGAGCCAATCCCACCTCAGTGGCCTACAAGTGGACCAAGGATGGAGCCATCATTCCGCAGGACGGCGAGCATCGTATCTTTGCGGACGGCGGTAGCCTGAACTTCACCCGGTTGCATAGGGATGATGCGGGAGTCTACTCCTGCACTGCCTCCAATTCTCAGGGCAAGGCCACCCTCAACATCACCGTCGTGGTGGAATGTGAGTAGTCTACGCTGTGCGTGTCTACTAATCGGACTAATTTTGATTTCTCCATGCAGATGGAACCACCATCAAATCGGTGTCCGAGAACATTATTGTCAATCCCGGCGAGGATGCAATGCTGTCCTGCAGCGTGGAGGGCAAACCACTGACCGATGAGCATGTCAAGTGGGAGCGCGTGGGCTATGACATGACCGTCAAGACATCGACAACTTTTGCTAATGGCACCTCCTACCTGCACATCAAGGATGCGCAGCGTGAGGATGTGGGCAACTTCCGGTGCGTGGCCGACAATCGTGTGGCCAATCCGACTAACCGCGACATCCTGCTGATTGTCAAGTGTAAGTGCTCCATAGAGTAGAAGAAAGCTGTCATGTGCCTTTATTGTTTCTTTACCCCAATAACCCATCACCTACACCTTTTAATTTGCCTCCCCCAGTTGCTCCTGAAATTGCGAAGGCTCCCACGCTCCTGCGAGCTGCCAGCGGAACAGGAGAACGTGGACGACTGCCTTGCCGGGCACAGGGTTCGCCCAAGCCGCAGTTCATCTGGCGGCAGGACAAGAAGGACCTGCCCATCAATCGCACCTACAAGTACGAGGTGGAGGAGCGCAAGATTGACTCGCTGACCTACGAGTCCTCCCTCATCGTGGACAAAGTGGCGCCGGCGGACTATGGTGCCTACGAATGCGTGGCTCGAAATGATTTGGGTGAGGCGGTGGAGACAGTTCGCTTGGAAATCACCTCGCAACCCGACCCACCCCTCAGTCTTAATATCCTGAACGTCACCCACGACACGGTCACCGTGGCCTGGACTCCGGGTTTCGATGGTGGCCTCAAGGCCTCATATCGCGTACGCTATAGGTGAGTGATATTGGAACATCTGAAAAATGCAAAACATGCACAGAGAAGAATCTTTGTCCTCTCTTAAAGAAATTTTAATAAGTAAAATTAAATTTAAGGAAAAGAATTCTTACAAAATTAGGGAAAATGAAGGTTAATCTTCACATTCTTTAAGTACGCCTCTAGTGAACTTCTCTTGATGTCAAAAATTTGATACCTAGAAGTTTTTTGCGAAGTGCAGATGCTATGAGTCCTGGCACTAATGAAATTGCACTCTGCCTTCTCATTTGCAGGATGGTCGACCGCGAGCAGTACAAATACATTGACGGGCTGCCCAATAGCCACAAGCTGACCATTGGCGGGCTCCGCATGAATACGCTCTATCTGTTCTCGGTGATGTCGTGGAACGAACTGGGCCAGAGCGCCTACCTGCCGGATTTGGCACGGGCCGAGACCAAAGGTAAGTCCGCCCATTCACTACGGCCATTCAAATTGGCCGCGAGTGCCTCACTCGACCAGCGATGCTGACATTGATTTATGCGAGTCCGCCATTTGGCTTTTATGGCCATTGGAGCATGGGTTCGATTCAGCGGAAGAATCGTAGCATCGGTAACTACCAGGCAGGTAGCCAGGTTGTGGTGGTGCCAGGCCAGTTGTCAGGCAACGATTCGGCAGATTTGTGGAATTAATTAGCTAGCCAGTATGATAAGCAGCTATCAGGCTAATTAGAGGCACGCATGGAATGAGTCAACCGAAATAATTGATGAAGTGAAATTATCCCAGACACTAGATTTGCTTATTGCCGCTGGTATGGTATATGAATGGAATATATCACAGAATTTAAATCAGTTTTTGGTAGAACAACGGAAATTAATTTTAACATAATGAGGAGGATTTGGGTTTCAAAATTAAACCATATAAGTTACTATAAATGTGACAGAAATCCAGTAGGTCGGTTTTCAAAAAACAATACCTTCGACTAAATAGCAAATAAATCGAACAAATTAGATAGAAATGTTAATCAAATATTGCCTTCAAACTAGTATAATGTCACATTCCGTTAGAAAAACATTAAGTTATCTTCTAAAAATCAGTAAAAAGAGCCCTTAGAGCACCTTTCTATAGCCATGATGAAGAATCAATTTAAACTGCGACCTGCACCACCACCTCAACTTAGCAATTCAAATAGATGCCAGTGTAGATTATGAAGCGTAAGAAATGGCCTACAACCCAGTATGGTCCATAGGGGGAAGGGGAATACATATGAGGACACACAAAGATCCGATTTGTTGTCTCACTCAATGATCTCGTCCCGACCTTTGCCGCTCTTAATTGGAATTGCATTACGACCATCAACAACGTCAACGACACCGACGATGCGACTACCGCAAATGGCCGCAATCGTTGTGACCATTCCGTCCGGCAGAAGCTCCGCCCCCCTCGCATCCGGCCTCATCGCTGGGAGGCGGACCGCCGACCACTAGCCAGACGCCGTTGGGCGGCACATCGGGCATGCTCCTGGTGGGCGTGGGCGCCGGCATCGTCGTTGTCCTGCTCAACGTGTTTGTCATCGGTTGCTGTCTGCACAAACGGAACGAGAAGCGCCTCAAGCGAGGTGAGAGGGGTTCAATCGTGAATCCTGCGGTTGCTGTTGCTGCTGAAACACAGAGAAAAAAAATCTAAAGAAATTCGTTGAGTTTTTACTTAATTTTTCTAGCAGTGAAGGGTCATGGAATCTATTTTGATTTGATCAAGGGTTAATACCACAAATTTAAAATTGATTTTTGTTACTCAAACTATAAAGATCTCCGATTTTTAACATTAAAATTTACAACTTCTTCAAAGTTAAGATCTCAGTGTATTCTGGCATTGTTGCCGTGGACCAAGATGGGGTTCAATGGGATGCCATAGTTGAACCTGAAGAGTAGGAGCACTGGAGTCCATGGGCATTTGAATTTCTAATTCCCTCGGCACGGTCTGCAGTCGCCTCCGTTATTTTCTTTTAATTTGTGGGCGTTGTCAGCGCACGTGCCCGGTGGTCAGCAATTGCGGATAGGAACGGGAACGGGAATGGGAATGGGAATGGGAATGGGCATCGCGATGGGAATCGCTGTGGAATGGCGATGGCGTCGCTAATTTCATTTGCCATCACATGTTCCGGCTCCGCTTCGCAGCCTCTACGTGATTTGCGTCACTCGCTGGTCGCTAGTCGGTCTCTTTATTTGATTTCGCTGCGTGTGCTCGCCATGCCAACCGAATTCGACCCTCGACCCCGTCTCATGGCCAGAATCCCATAGACACAGACCATTGCCATAGCCAGAGCTATAGCCATAGCCGAATCCAAGAGAATCCACGATTCGGACGCAACTGGAACTGGGACAGCGCGTTCATTGCTATGCTCTGCGCCATTTTATATTTTTATTCCTTTCATGATATTATTCTTTTTTATTACAATTTCTCATTTCATTTCGCATTTATTTATTGTTTTATTTTTGCAACCATATTTTTTGCTTTTGTTCTTTTTTCCATGGCTCGTTTTGTCAAGGACTTGAACTGATGCCAGCCGAGTTAACCGAGGACTCCAGCAACACACCGAATCTGGTCATAATTGGCATCTCCCTGGCGGCATTTGGCTTTCTCCTGGTCAACGCGTCGCTGGTTGCCTGGTTCTTTGTGCATCAGCGCCGCAAGAAAGGTTATTATTATTATTTATTATTATTGTGACTATTATTTGGAAGGCGGTATATGTATACCTTCTTGAAGTTCCTGGCTCATTTGCTGTGGCTGTTCTCCTTTGATTGAGGTTAGTTCTGTGCGCGGGGCTGGCACTCTGAATTCCGAATACCGCTAGACAATTGCATAGCCGCATGCTGCAGCGGCTGCCGGCAGCCGGCACCACTTCCGTGACACCACCGGATACGGAAGCGAGCGCGTTGTGAAGCTTCCGGTGCCCACTAAGGATGTCGGCATCCAGGATCTATATCTCTCTCTCTCTCTGTCTTCTTCTTTATGAAGCTCACTAAACAATTTCCTGCATACGCAGGCTCTTAGAAATGGGGGAATGCACTCCACCCGGATCACTTTCCCGCCTTGGCTTCTTGTAATTTCCGCCAGCAACCAATGCCAAGCGTGGCCAAGGATCCAGCAGAGCAGCAGTCAAGGCAAGAAGTCTCCGGCTAGAGTATAATGATGACAGAAAATAATGATGCATCCTGGGCAGCCCCGGCAGCCAAGAGATGCTGTTTATTGAACAAGAGAGACCCGGACAGCCAGCAAGACAAATGTGCATCGTTTTCTTAGCTGAATGCACAATCTTCCGGAAATCAGATTGCTTTCACGGTTCACGAGTGCAGCGGGGCTCAGAGGTCGATGGGGTTCGGGGAGCACGTGTCGACAAGTGTTGGACATGTTTGCTGAGGGTTGTTTATTAAAACGGAATTATTTTTCACCACTAGAAAGAGAGAGAGAGAGACGGAGAGAGTGAACTTTAAAATGGAAAACCCTGATGGCGCCATCAGTCCAATTGTTACCATTTTTCTCGGGCAACTTGCCTTAACAATTCCATTGCCGACGACTGACTGGCAAAATTTGAGACGTGGCGCGCACACACGGCGTATAAGCAATGTGCCAGCAACGAATCGCTATTACGTGCCGCCATGTCGACATGCAATACGCAGCATCGTTGCCGGCTAACCAAATTATTTCCATTGAGCCGGAGTGAATGAGCCGGGCAGCAAATGAAGCTGCATCACGAACTCAATACGACGCTTGAAGGAGCCAAAAACAAAACCAGGAATAGAAGTCTCAAATTTATGCAAATTTTGGGCAAATTTCAGAAACTAGAAAAAGGTATATATGCATTTTTAGAGCAACCAAGAGAAGATCTGCTGTTAGGTAACTAACATTAACATTTTTATCTACTCCTAGACCAAGCTAGAAGAATTAGGTTTAAGCAGGGTGTTGGCTGCATATGGAGACTTCCCCTTCTTCTATTTGCCACTGTAATTTATATGCTCCGTCATACAGTTTGTGTAAACATTTGACTTATGACTTGATAAACATCTCTCAGGCTCTTTCAGTGAAAAACTTTTGATTCATTAGGCGAGTGCAAAAAAAAAAAAATATTTAAAAAAAACGAGCAGGGACGTCACGCCCCGAAACTAAACTAAACTGACTTAATCGGGGGAACAAAATGTGGGCCAGTTATTTTTTGACATTTTCAAACGGGAAGCACGACTAGCATGAACTACAGCCGCAGGACATAAATAAGAAATTTCCTTAAGAATCCCAGGCCGGGCCCAGACTCCATTATTTCTGTCTTTCGTTTCCAGTGCGGCGCAGTTGAACAAATGGCGAGTGCCGGGATATGAATGCAATCCCGTTCCACACAAAAGAAAATTCATATTTCAGTCTTGTTGCAAACAAACATACACACAGACACACACACACTCACAGCAACGAAAACGAAAAGAGCGGAGAAAAAACCCTCCTGGAAGGAACAACATTTTTATGACAATGTTCAGATAGTGGCGGGAACTGAGGGGTAGTGTATATACCATTGCCATGCCCGTACTACCTCCATCCCCTTATCCCTGTCAAAAGCCGATAACTGACAATGCCCAAAAGGATTTTTACTTTTCCCGTTTTCAGTGTTCACAATTTTTCCATCCATTTCGCTTATTTTTTTCTTCTTTTTGTTATTTTTTTGTGTATTTTTGAAGTTGTCAGAGAAACTGGTGCGTTGGCCAGCCGGCGGAGATGGAAGCTAGGGAATGAGTTGGAGTTGGAGTGGAGGTTGGAGTGGAAGTGGGTGGACCCCGTCGGGGGATATCTCTCTGCATATTTCAATGTTTTCGCTAGCGAAACTTGACTTGCAGCCCTCGGATATGCATTTTTAATGCGCATTTGTGCCTTTGTGTCAAAATGCCGCATGGCGCACAGAAAGGAAATCCATCCTTCTGCCGCTGCCCAAGCTCCAAATCTCATCTCAGACCCATCCTATCTCATCCTGTACCCTCGAAAATATCCGAATCCGACTCTTCGGCAAACCAAAAGCCCAACCGCACTGGAGGCCGCCTAAGAAGCCTTTCGCTGTAGTTGTCGCTGTCCGATAAACTATGCCAAAAGTCTGCGGTTGGCAGCTGGTTCAGTGGTTCAGCTCCGTCGCCGACTGTTGGTCGTCCGCAGGTCCCGTCCTCCCGTCCACCATCCTTCCAACATCCGTTCGTTCCGTTGCCGGTCATCGACCACAGCCGCCATGAACAAGAGAGCGGCAGTGACCATCGCTTCGTCGCAGCCACAGTCAATGCCCAGTGCCACATATTTCATTCTCGTATGAGCTGGGCCTGAGCCGGAACATCCAGAATAGCGCCATCTCTAATGTTTATTGCCTTTCGCCTGACCCCCGAAAAATGAAGGAGATGAGTTCACCCTTACACTGAGGTTAAACATATCTTTGGAAAAGTTTTAGTTGCAAAATTGGATTTGAAACTAATTTTGATTTTCTGTTTTCTTAGAAAAATGTGAATGAGTGGCTTGAGATTGAAAATCCCCGACTAATTGCTTACTAATTAGGATTTCAAGATATGTTAGTTGATAAGATAAGATAAGATAAGCCATGGCCATCTTTCATTTATAATCCACTTACAAAATCCCTTTAAAGATCTGAAAGCTCTTTCCAAGTGCACTTTCTGGCCCACTTAAAAGTCCAAAGAGCAGTTGCATCAAAACAATTGGTCCGAGGCATTCGTGAGTGGTTAACAAAGTTAGTGGCATGGGCATAGGAGGGAGGGGTCATAGGGCCATATGGCAATAGATTTTCGTTGCACACAAAAAAAGTGCCAACTTTTGCCAGAGAGAGCCACAAATAGGAAATAGAAAGAGCTAGAGCACCCATCAACACCGAAAAGGGTGTATTATCTTTGGGCCAGGAGTAAAACTTTAGAGCGAGTGCAGGCGCAAAAGTGAAATGGCCCACAACCCGATCTCGGGGATATAGTTGAGTGCGACACTTTTACGACTTGGCGGGTCGAAACTTTTATGCCAACGTTGCCACCAGCGATAAGACCACCCAGCCAGGCTGGGCACTCCTCCACCATAGGCCCCACCGCCACTCAATCCCGATGTTCGACCCACTGGCGAGCACTTGACTTTGACACTCTTTAAACAATTGACGGGGTGCCGGGGAACCAAACTGTACCAAACTGAACTGAACTGGCCAGGGGATTGGGGGTTTCTGGCGTGCGTGAGAGAGCTGCGACATCGAATCTGAAGAGATAAGCGCACAGGCTGTCGTGGTCAGGGAAATCGGGAAAATCTGGCCAAATCGCCGGCAGTCGGGACAAAGAGGGCTGGCTCAGCAAATGTCGAAAAGTTTGCTGCTTAGGCAACTGGCCATGACAGGCCAAAAAGAGCGCGGATCCATTTGTGGCAGAGAATGGGGCAATGGGGCAGTTCATAAATTCGCTGGACGCAGAAACAAAGAGGGACACTCACACATACATACAGATAAAGCAACCGGTACATTCAAATGACCGGAGAGCAAATGGCACAAAGCGTAGAAGTCCATGATGGCATACCACAAGTCCACCCAGCGAATAATTGAGAGCTGTTGCCAGGACAGAGGGCTTACCAGAAAAGACCTTCAAAGCAGACGTCGCCGTCATTAACGTGCCGAGATGACCGCAAAATCTGTCTAAGCCGCGACCCACATATATATATATATGTATATGACTGTATGTATGTATATAGCAAGAGATCCGGCTGGGGGTTTTCCTAGCATAAGTGCAAAATTTGTAATCTCCGTGCGGCGTAGCGGAGCCGCAAAGTGCAGTGGCAACAAAAAAAACAAGAAAACCAACGGGCGGACAGCGAAGTGCGGATTATTTGACATCTGTTTTGGGCGGTGGCCACCGCATTGCGTTCACTGTCATGTGAACGCCGGAGAGTGATAAGCCCGCCCGCTGGCCATTAATACCCAGCCAAAGGGTCATCCATTCAGGACTTTTATTTTTTCCCGGTAAATTTAGCTTAGGCATTATACAGTTTAGGGCTTGTAGGTGGAAACCAAAAAACAAAACATCAAAACTAACTCAGGCTTTTATGATATCATGAAATATTCATGCCGAACACAAACTAATCTAGGCATTTCCAAGAAGCATGTTCATATGCATACACTGAGGTTTAAGAATACTTTTTGTTTTCAAGAAATAAATAATGGAAGAGTTTGCTTTATAAATTAAAAAAATATATTAAAATATTAGTACCATCCGCCCCTTTCTATTACCCTTTCTAAACTTTGTTTTGATAAATGCATTTATGAGGGCTCCATGACCCTCTCTCTATCCGCACAAACACAGCTCGTGTAGGTAAGCGGTCGTGTTTTTAATTGCCTTAATTGATTAAAGCCAGAACTATTATTTTAAATGCCCCACAACCCCGCACCATCGTGCAACCAAACGCCCTTTCTGCCTGCAACTGTGCAACTCGTTTGTCGTCATAAATAAAACAACTGACAAATGCCGAAAATGTTTTTAACTCACTAAGCTATAAAATCAGTGAGCTCTCGCTGGATCCAAGTATAGTATAGATAGATATATATAGGGTCTGCTGTCATCGGCAGGCCAAATACAGATATCTGAGCCGTTCAGAGCTGCGGCCCAACATTTAAATGCATTTTCAATTTTTAATTTTTTCCCTGCGAGTGCCCACACAAAAGTGTATAGATTCGGAATGGTGTGTGCATATGTTTAATGAATTAAAACACAACGCTGGCGAATGTTGGTCAATCATAAAAAATGCAAATTGAAGCATCCCCCCAAACCCAATAACAAACAGCATGAATATACACGAAATGGAGACAGAACAAAGCAATTTACGTTCGAATATTCGGCTGCAATTTGTTAAATATTCATTATACAACGGCAAACATGGCCGAAACGACAAACAGACGTGTATAAAGTAATTTTGATAACTCCCAAACATTCAATGTTCTTTGTGCAAATTAACAGAAAACGGCAATTTTATCGACTAATAGTCCCCGCATGTCACGTAAGGACTGAAGGACGTGCCGAACAGGTCCCCTATATATCTATATCTATATATCCTTAGATATGTATTATTAAGAAACCGTAGGGCCATTATATCTTTGCATAGCTCGGAGGAACAGGACGATGATGATGGCAATGATGGCGATAGCAGCTGAGTGGCAGGGCAATGTCCATTTACCATTACCCATTTACCTATCGCCATCAGGAAGATCCCAGAGATGGGATGACATGGGGAATGGGAATGGGAATGGAAATGGGGGTCACATGGTGGTACCACACGTGTCTATGGCTTTTTGCTTTTCTGCTGACTTTGCTCAGCTCGTAATCGTTATAAATTCTGTGGCATTCTGGAAAAAAAAAACGTTTCAGAATAACAAAAGCTTCGAGTACACACCACAAAAGTTGCTACAAAAATGGCAAAACATGTCAGTTATTTATGCAATTTTTATTTGTTTTTTTTTAAGTTGAATGTTAATTTGGTAACATGTATCAGAAATCTTTTCATTTAACAGAAGAATTAATGAATTTTTTTCAATCAAATATCAAGGTATAAAATGATGTATCACAGCAGCAGCAGCAGCAGCAACCGCCAGGAATTTTCAAAATCTCTATAACATATCCTATAATATTTCATATTTTTATATACTTTCCATATACCATCGATCCGGAACTGGGAATGTGCTACAAATAATGGACTCCACTTTGCGGCAAACACGTGTTAACTTCTGCGGAAAATGTGTCATAAATCATTTAATTGCATTTCGACCTTTGGCCGACTGTCAACTCATTTATATTTCCCGATGTGCCTTACTTTGTTTGCGACACGGCATCGAAATGCACATCAACGAATGCTGCGACAAATGTGAATAATTAACGCAATGCCTGCGACCTGTGTAAACGCCCAAAACCACCCATTATCCCATACAAAAACAACCCACCCACCATCCATCCTTTTTCCCCGCACCTGCATCAAACTATTCCTCTGTTTCTGGCACTTTGACAATCTTGGCTATTTGCATTTGATTTGCATTGCCTGAACCTGCAACTACAACACAATTGGCCACCTCATATCCACCTTCTGCCGCACTGCATCAACGCCTGACCAACATAAAAAAAAAAAACCGATCCCACCCACCACCTGGCACCGCTGCGAATCATCAATTTTCGGGATGTCACTGCCAATTACACCTTTTCAATATTTGTGCGCATACCTTGCCGTTCTGTTCCATTCCCGTACCTCGTGGCGTCGGAATTTTCCTTCTTTTTTCTTTGGATTTTTCTTCTTTTTTTTTTTTGGGAAATACAGTGGCGGAAACTACAAATCAACCGGCAAAAACGGCAACCATCGAGATGTACGCGCCCAGTTCGTATAATGACACCGTTACCGGCGAGACGCTGTCCAGCGTTTCGGAGAAGAGCGAATCCTACTCCAATGAGGGCAGCAGCCAGCCGGAATATATTGTGAGTACACACGGATCTACCTACCAACCGAATGTTTTCCATTTTTTTTGCCCTGAAACTTTTTTCATGCCATTTTTGTCCATTTTTTTTTTTTGGATGAGCATGAATATGCAATTTGTGAATGGGCACAGAAAAACGGACAAGGGGGAAAGGGAAAACAAGAAAGGAAAAGAGCCAGCGGTGGAAAATCGTCTGGCATTTTAGGCATTTTCCATTGCTAAATAGATGTCCTGCAGGCGCAGGGCCGTCACTTGGCATTCTCACCGATGGAGAATAGTGCGATTTCCCCGAAGTCATTCAATTTAAATATTGCTTTCTTCGCAGTGGGGGGGTTTTATCAATCACACTTCGTAGTTTTTCAATGGGATAAAATTATTAGAGCTGCTATCAGAAACTTCTAAAGATATGAGAAACCAATTACCTTTAATAGTGTAAACTGTAATACCCATTAGCTTGAGAAGGCAGAAAATGGCTTCGAGGGAGTATTTAGAGATGAAAATGTTACCAAGAAGGCAGGCATAAATATAACTACAAAGCAGTTAATAAGCCGCAAAACAAATTCAAGCCAAAGATAGGGCTTCGCCTTAAGTTCAAGAAGTTCTTACTAACTAACAAACAAATGTTGAGGATGGTCAACATGGCAATCCCCTTGGCCTGCGGCCCTGGTTTTTCAATTATAGCCAATCCTCAAAATGAGAGCTGGGCGGGTTGAGAAAGGCAGGAAGTGCCAGACCAGGCCCAGACCAAGATGAAGCCCAAGAACAGGTCCAGACCAGCGGAGCGGAAACGGAAGCGGCATTCCGACGTCGTCGCTAAGACGTCGTGATTAATTACGCGACGCTGATGATGATGATAATGATGAGCCAGCGAGTGGGCTAAATGCGGAGAATAAAACCGAGTCCGGGCTATGGAATCTTGGTCCTGAGATTCTAGAGTCTGAGTATCTTCCCAGGAAGCTGCTTCAAACAAATCGTTTCAAATTATTAAAATCATTTATTATCGCCGTAATCTTGCAGCGGCAGGAAAACCGCAGCAACTGCCTAACCCGCAGAAGCTGAAGTAAAAGTATGTAAAGTGCGTAAACTGCGACCGCGCGTGTTATAAATCAGTCGCCGATCCGTTCATTTGGGTGTCCTTGGTTTTTTGTCCTTGTTGCTCTGGGTATCTTGGTTCTGTCCTTGATATCCTGGATGTCCTCACTGTCCTGGTTGTTCTCGGTGTCCGTGTGTCGCCGCTGTCATTGTGGCTGTCAATTACGCGCCAACGACTTTCAACGCCTTTGCCAAAGTATACCAAAAAGCAAAGTGTGGAGTAATTACGGGGCATTACTCAAATGGGAATGAGAATATAAATTGATATATACCCGACCATGTCGCATCTGCCGCTCTTAACTCAACTCCCAATCCCCTTTTTATTCACAGGACGAGGCACGCAAAAAGGCGGCGTCCACGTATCTCGTCGAGGGCTCGGATATGCCACCGCCCAGATATCAAAAGGATGGCACCCTGCCAGTCATATATCCGAATAATATTGGTAAGTTGATATCGCCCAAAAAAAAAACCGAAGGCCTCCTTGACACCTCTTGAATAATGGGGAAAACCCTAGAGGCGTGAAAAACATTTTAAACTCTGTTTGGTTTGGTTCGGTAACTTGGGGTTTTATTTCATACTTTGGGAAACTAAAGTAAATAATCTTAACAAAAATTGAACTAAAATCAAGAGTTATATATCAAATCATTTCACTTTTGACACTCAATTTTTGCGAAACCTTTAAAATGCGATTTATTTCTCGCAGTACCAAACAAAAAAGCCAGAAATACGTTTTAGATAATTAACTTTTGGGCAAAACAAAGTTGGGACTTTGCACGCGCTGTCAGGACGTCAGCAAACCGAGTGGCGAACGCCCGCCTTAACCCACCAAAGCCCCAACTGCCCTCGGTTGCACTCGTTTTGGTTTGATTTTTATGCCATGATTGCAGTGCAATCAAAGCAAATGTTGAAAAAAGGGAAACGAAAATCGCAAAAGGATAGATTCGATGGTCAGGAGGAGGGAATAAATATACAGAGAGCGAAATCGAAGCTTTTTTTTTTTTTGGGAGGGCATAAGGAGGGAAAAGTGTGTGTGTGTGTGAACTGAAAATTCAATTCCAGCACAACATCTCCATCTTAATTGTAATTGAGGAGCAAAGTTTTTGTCAGTCTTGATTTTCAATTGACGTATGTGTGTATGTATGTACGTAAGGATATATCTAAGGATAGATATATATAGAATATATAGCTCGAGGCAGAAGAACCCAAATCACGTGCGGCTTGCGCTAATTTAGAAAAAAAAAACCTCAAGCCTTGGAATTGTTGAATTTAAGGAAAGCACAAAAATGGAAATGGAAATGGAAGAATAATAACCAAGGCAAAAGGACTCGGTCTGAGTTTGAGTTTTGAGGCCACAGACAAGGGACACCATGGCAGTCTGTCAAGGCATCGAAGCTGTTAGAACAACAGGAGTTCTATGATAACAATCCGCCTGGTTGGAACAAAAGCAGAAAATGCATTTTAAATGCAAAAGCGTAGAAATAATAAAAATACATTAGCTGCAGAACCTATCCCCCGGAAGGGAAAGTGCCTGAGACTCTGGCATAAAAAATACAATTACCTTGTGTCAACGGCATGAAAATTTGGAAAGCTCTCTCCCTCTTCTTATTGTTTTCCATCTCTTAGGCTCTCTCTCTCTCTATCTCTATCTCTCTCTTCTGAGCAACAAATAAATTTGGTTCGGAATTTTCAAGTCGAAATAGATAAATTTGAGATGAGCGCGTGATTTCATTTAATTTTATGACGTCATTAGTCACGATTTACTGGAGTACATTTCACCAGCTGATTTTCTTTTTTCTTATCGCTGATTGATTTAGGAGATCTTATATAAACGTCCATCTAATGGAGGTCTTAATTAATCAAAGTAATAATCTTTATACTTAAACCACCCAACCTATCCCTTTAACTCAGACTGAAGTAAACTTCATATTCTTATAACCATTTCGTGCCCATCTCTAAGATGAACCCAAGGCAAGGTCTTGCCTTCCACCTTTTCCACCCAAAACACCTCTTGCCACCCCACACAATTTTTCCACCTCGAGGTTTCTGCGGCGACACGCATAATTACGTATGTATGTACTCGTACATCTCGGGTGTTCGTGAGTACCGCCATTTTCTTTATGCCCGAAACAACAACAAGAGCACAGCAGAACGAGCTGAAAAGAAAACACGCCGAGGGAGAAGAACAACAAAGACAAAAGCACCGAAGAAAGCCAGAAAAGAAAGCAAAAAGGGAAGAAAGACAAGAGAACGAAGAAGAGCGGAGAGGAAAATGCAAAAGAATCCCCCACGTGGCACAAAAAATTAAAATGCTTGCCGGAAGCTGAATCTCAAACAAGCGAGCCCAAGGCTGTTGTTCCAAGCGGGTGGAAAGCGATGGTGCACCCAGCACCACCCAGCAACCATCAGGAAAAGCTAGGGCGGGGCGGTATGCACATGAGCTTAACGGGGCGGGGCAAGCGGAAATTGTTTTTGTTAGTTGGCGTCACATTTTTTATCAGAGTTTTTTGTTGAATTTAAAATGGTAGTGAGTGATGGGTGGGAAGTCAGAGAAGTTCCAAAAAAAGATAAAAATAGATGAAAACCCAAGGGGTTTTTCCATGTTACCTCTGCCACCCCAAACCAAGAGTTGCAATTTCATTTACCTTTTATGCATTTACACGAGGAAAGTGGGAAAGCCGCACTTTTAATGAGACGCTTTTCCACACGTTGCCATGTTAATGAGCAGGCCAAAAGCAACAAGTCCCGGGCTCTGACCCAGTTTCTGACCTTGAACGAGTGCAAAGGCCCTTAGGAGCCCCACAGAAACCCTTCTGAAACCTCTTAAAGCCGTCCTTTTGGGTTAAAGCATATTCCCTGACTATAGCCCATGGCTGTTTGCCTTATTTTTCCAGCTTATATGTACAATATTTCTTATCTTGACTTCAGCTTGCCCCAAATGTTATTAATATCAAATGAGCTGGGGAAAAATTGGGGAACTAGTGCGCTCCTGACCCGGCCAACAATTATGCAGCTGCCACAGTCCCAAAAATTGGTACAAAAATACAGAGTTCTTTGTTCGAGTTTTCTTTTTCGGCACAACAATGTCATGCTGATCGAAAAATCAATAATTCATGAGTGACTGTCTTTAGGAAAAAGGAAAAATACGCCCACATATGCGGAAGTAAACAAGCCGCAAGATGAACAAGTCTCGAAACTCAGGTCTACCGCAAGGTTTCCTTCGATTTGTCGTTGTCAGGCAGCCGCAGGTTTTCAACTTTTCCATACCATCCCCCATCCCCCATCCCCCATCCACATCCTCATCACCATCTCCATCCCACGGAAACTCAGCGATGTCACAGTCTATTTTACAAAATTACAAATTTGTTACGTTTGCGGCTTTCACGCCTCTGCCGGTGACATTCGGTCGCTTTTCACCGAAACGTGGCAGTATATCGGGCCAATTTGTCACGCCGCAAGCAGGTGGCCTTATGGCCAACTGAAGACTCCATTGACATTTGCATATTTATTGGATGGTCTTATCAGCAATGTCGCAAGCATTGCAATTAATGGCCATCGTTTTCTTTTCCTTTCCAAACGTTTGCACATGAAATCGGCCAGAACCGAGCACCAAATTGTTGCATGCTACGTGCGTGGGCCAACAGATACAAGTTTGTTCTCGTTTTTAAGAACTTTTCATAAGTGAAAATCAGTGGGAGTTCTTGAGAAATGGAAGTATGTTCAATTTTTTATTATTAATTTCTTTTAATAAATCACATTTCCCTAATTCCATGAGCTAAAAATAACTCAAATTGATTTTCTGAAGATAAATCATAGGGAAAGGACTTTACATTGTAACAATGCTAAGGAAGTCTTAGCTTATTCAGCTCTTACGTGTACTAAGAATGTTTTCTTAAGCTTTTACTTTAGATCTGTTTCCAAATTTAAGAGTTGTTTTTGTAAAGTAAAAACATTAAATTTCCATATTTTTCAGAACTGCATTTCACAGTTGAGAAACAACAGGTTTTTGTTTGAAAAAGTAAAAAAAAAAAAAAATCAAATTCCAGAACAGAAACTGACAGTATGCATGTGTACGGAAATGTTCATACATTTTTTGAATATAAAACCCGTCGTTTGCAGTTTAAAAATGAAAATTGAATGCGTTTTGCATTCCTCCATTTGCAACTGGCCAGCCAGCCAAACGGCGTGCTCCGCTTATGGTCGCAATCAAAGCTTAAGCCATGGCAACGGCCATATACTATATAAACTCGTATATATGGGAAAAAATATATAGGAAAATAATCAGAAGAGCGCAGCACGTACCCCGCAGAAAGCAAAGAAGAAAAAAAGTAAAGAAATCGGGGTATTGGTAAGCCATTAAAATCAACCAAGAGCAGGCTAAAGTGGGCTTATTGGCCACAAAAAAAAAAAAAATACCATCAATGCATATGAAATCACGAGCTCACTTTGACTTAAGCACATATTAACTGGATACTCTTTTTCTCCATTTCCATAATATTTTTTGCAGTGAATGCCTGTACACTGCCGCACCCGAGGCACAATAATGGCAGCGCCGCCATTCATATGACCCGGGATGATCAGATGCTAATCAGCAAGGGTGTCTATATTCCGTCCCCGTCGCCGGCGCCGCCACCAGATGGCTCCTACTACAACATGAACAGCGACAGATACTTGTCCTATCCGCCAATGGTAAGTGAGATCAATGAACCAGTCACAGCCCCAACCCACCCTAGAGGCGTATTGCTGGCGGGGATTTGGCTGAGACCCAAGCTTAACGAACGGCAGATGCAAGCTTAATTGCCCGCATCTGCAGTTACCTTCTTTGATCCGCTGCCATCTGCCAGCGGGCGGGCAACTCCACCCACTCTCCTCCATTGGCGCCTGGATTATTGCGCTCAATTAACCAAAGTTTTACGAAGGACACTTGGCACTTTGCATCCCGCCATGCGAGAGGCGTCCATAAATCCATGTATCGATCTACCCGAGAAGGAGTGGCAGTGCATAGAGAGTGCCAGAGCATCTTCTCCCTGCTGGCATTTAACGCGCTTCGACTTTTATAATCCGCAACACTGTAGAGACAAATGACAAACTTAAAAGCATTATAAGTAAGCCCCTCGACTCGCAGACTGCGCTTGCACTGCGCTTGCTGCTGTTGCTTGCTGTTGCACTGCCAGCGAGTGTAAACATTATTTTCCCCAGACAACAATTTAATATCACGCATACGCCGCGTACGGCAGATGGTAGATGGTAGCATGGCTTTTACGACGAAGGAACACCCACAGATGCTACAAAGTTTTTGGCCCGCGTCACTCATAAAGCGCTGCGAATTCCGGGGCCAACTTGTGTCCCACAAAAATTCCATGGTGTTTGGAAGGAAAAGCGGGTGATCGGGTGTACTCCACCTCTCCAAGACAAAACCACCGCAGCCAGTCAAGGACATGCGATGTCCATTCCATTCCACGGTGGATGCCACACATTCGGCGCTTGTCGCATTGCCTGCCAATATAAATTCCACAAATTTCACAATAAACATGGGGAAATCAATTTTCGGAATTTATGTTTCCGACGCTCCTTTTAGGGGAATAAACGTCCCCTCGGACTTGATGACTCCTGGCACTAAAGGGGTGCCAATGCGACAGCATAAGACGACATCCGACGTGGGATGACAGTCAGCCCGTTTATGTGTCGTCTCAACTTGGCTGACGCTCAATAATTGTATAAATTAGATGAGGGGTAAACGAAAGTGCAACAGCAGCAGTAGCAGCAGCAACAGCAGTAGCTTCAGGGATTGTAATATCCCAAGGATATTGCCCACCACCATCTGGCACAGCACAGGCTAATATAATAATATTTATGCTTAGCAGTTGACCATGTTTATGGGCTTTATACGATTTGTTAAGTTATTCAATTGTGTCCCCTTCCCAGAGAGAGTGAAAGAGAGTGGGTTTACACACACAGTCCACAGTACACAGTTAAATGATGTGGTTTCGAAAAGTGTGTGTGTGTGGGGGGGCTGGGGGAGTATGTTTGGAGTGGTCATATCAAGTATCCACTGCCCGGTGCCAGCCAGTGCTCCGTCATCGTTCTTTACCATCGCCCGACATGGGACTAAACCTTTTGTTTGCGGTTTTTAGTCAACGAGGGAGAAAAATTCAATTTCGGTTTAGTTGGTCAACAATGACATCCCATATGTATGTATGTATGGGATATATACTATATATATATCCACTTCACTTGTGGCCCATGGAGCGGCCACTCCTTCCGCTTTGTGTGCCGGGGCCTTTTGCCATTTCACATAAGAAATGTTTTGTGTGGAAGCCAAATTGAATTATTTGATAAACATCATTAGAAAAATTACAAAATATACAGAGCAGAGAGTCCGACTCGGGCTGAGCCGTCCCTTTTCGCTGTGGCTTCCCCAAAACATTTGGCCAGCTCTAAATTACTTTTCGAAGAGCATCTGTCTCCGTTTCAGCTTCAGTCAGCGCCACGTATCCGAATGGACAGTAAATGAATAAGGACAATTTATAACAGTAAATCAAATTAAATTTCAATTGGAAAACTTGAAAAAAAACAACAACAAAAAATATACAAACAGAAAGCGAAATAAAACAAAACAAAATGGCCATCTAACAAAGTTAGAGCATCGTTTTGCACATTAGTCCCCCGAGAAGGAGGTGGAGGAGGAGGACTATGAGGGGCAGACGACCATAAAGCTCAGCTGCCCAACGGAATTCCTCCGTTCGGGACACTGTAATTGCCCATCACAACTGAATCTGGCCATGGATGTGGATTCGATTCAGCCTGACCAGTTTATCACAAAGCGCTGAAAAGTGATTGAGCAGCTTCTTAATCAATTTATATCATATTGTTTGTCCTTCTGCCATTTATGAGAGCCTTCTGCCTTTGATTTATACCATCAACCACATTTTATTAACTCTATTTAGGTTTTTGTATTTTTAACAAGTCAGTCTGGTTGGCAAAGGATAGTAACAAAGAGTCTAATTCTTAAATCTTAATTGTTCTTCATTAAGTACATATTTTTGTGTAGAAATTAAATGTGACTAAATGTCACTTTGCAGGTCATTCATTAAAAAACATTTCTATCAAAATTCATTCATTCCAAGTCATTAGTTTTCTATAGTTTTAAATTGTTTTGCAAATGAAGTGAGTAGCCTTCTTATCACAAAGCTTATCATCGGAATATAATTTACATTTTATTTGATTATGATTTTTAGCTGAATGAATAGTTCATGAAGTCAAAGTTTCCCTTAGAGATTACTTTATAATCTTTGTTATTAATTTTAATATCACTTTTTTGGCTTTAAAAGGTAGTTGCTAGCTGATTGATTCTCCCATTTTGAAGCAACAGGATATCCCCAGGATAAGCGCCTCAAGTACTTGCAATCCCAATCCCAAGCCATATCCACATCCGTTCATTGGCACGCAAAGTGGCCCGAAGTAAATGCAATTTAAAACAAGTTGTGGCCACACCCAAGAGAAGTCAGAACGAGAATGGCAGCCCACCCACTCATCCATCCGTTGCGGTGTTTTTGTCCAACCAGCTTGTAACTATTTAAGCGGCAATTTGTATTTTATTGCCAACTTTGGTTGGCTTCCAAGGCCAGAACAGAAAGTCCAAACACCCCTTTTCCAGTTCCAGTTCAGTATTCCCATACACAGCACATCATCCACCCAACCACGTCAGCCCGAAAATGCTCGAGTTTCATTTGGCTGGCGTTGATAAGTTAAATGCTGACTGCCGGACGCAGTTGGAATCCCTATGTGGACTACGTGCATATGTGGCTATGGAGTGGAGCCCGAGGGCAGGGACTTGACTTCAGCCGGACAACTTAACTACGGTTCACTTTGTTAACTTGAGTTCTGCACAGTTTTAAATTCAATTAGTTTTCGTGCGGGCGAACTCTGGATCTCTGGCCATTGTCTGACTGCCACTGAGCTGTCAGCTGCAAAGGATCTGGAACCGGGAGCTGTATCCATCAGATACTTTACGCACTGTGGCGCTATGCCACTGTGGCTGTCATCAAAGCGGGCAAGACCAGGGTGTTTTGTTTTAAAATTCATGGGGCAGCTAAAAGTGGGAGTGTGGGTGCGCAGCTGAAGCCGATTAAATAAATAAGGGGATCCACTCCTAGTGGGCCATAATTTAATTTGAGCTCCCGCTATCCGCGAGACTCTTTTCGGACTCGTTCATAGACTTGGCCTCGGCGGCGCCGCTCCGTTTGGTCTTAATGTGTAAAGTTTTGTCTTTTTTATGGCCAGTGTGGAGATGCCAATTGGTTATTCTATTTACCCGGAATGAAGTTCCAACTCCGGCAGTAACAACAATAATGAGCTGCGGCCAAGAATTAGCGAACGCGGCACACAAAAGCCTTTAAGTGGCCAAAAGTTTTCAGGCAGGCCATGGGAAACCCTTTACGCGACCAGGACAACCTCCAGGCCCATCCTGAGCCACCCCTAGAATCATCCTGGCTTAGCTCTGGAGCTCTCCGGGCTCGAAGTTTTCGTTAAAGACAATTTAACTTTGTAAACTGATACAAAATGTCCGCCCCGGTCTACTTAGGATCCCCGTTCCCATTCCCGTTCCCGTTTCCGATCCAAATCCCCACCACAGCCTTGTTAATCAGTGTTGAGTGTTGTGTCCCTAATGTGTTGCTGGATGTCCTTGCGCCATGTTAATCCACGAGAGTTTTCAATTCTGCAATCGTAGGTACTCGATTCCCCTTAATATTCCAATTAGGTGCACGGGCCAAGTTTGCAACTTGAAAGTTGTACGTGCTGCAAACTTGGCCCGCACTGCTGGACTTCTGGCATGCGGAACAGCTTCCTCAAACTGGCACAAAGTGTCATGTCAATTGAACTAGGAATCCACTCGCCGACAGTTTTCCTTTCGTGTTTTTTGTATTTTTTTTTCTTTTGCTCTGTTGCCCAGTTGAGAAGTTGTCAGGAAGTTGTATTGTATACGAGCGTTGGCAGAATGCGCTGTCATAATTACGGCATCGTTAGTGCCAATCTTCGCTTTAATGCCGTCTTTTCAAGGCAAGAAAAGTAGCCAAAAGGATTCACGTCCCTTGGTTAGAGTCCAGTGTATTTGAGCCGCGGCTTAGAGCGGACTTTTGTTTGCGCTCCTCATTGTTTCATATCTCGGGCGACAGTTTAATGGGAAAACTTTTGCCGCTGAGCCAACAGAGCACTTCTATCCCGCCGAAGAGCTGCGATGAAGCCGCTTAGCTAAGCCTACGCCCACTTAATCCACACTGGGAGAAAACTAGGGTCCTTTTTAAAATAAAAGAGCGTTCTTTAAGAGTTCTTGAAAATATTTAAGGACTAAAGTATTGGCACTCTTAAGAGACTGAGTAACCTAAAAATTATATAAAAGACAGACAAGATTCTTTCTATTAAAGGATAACCATCAATTTGAATATTCCTTTACCAATACTAATATCCATCTTATGTTATTTTTCTCTTTTCAGGAATATCCAGCAGCCCTGGACTTCACCGCCCAGCCTATGCCCATGGCGCACCTGCAGCCCATGACGGTAACCTCGCTAGCCACCAACGGCGGTGCCACGCTCATCGGCAACGGATCAGTGGCAGCGGTTGCCGGTGGTTCGGGCACCTTGCGGCGAGGGATACTGCGCGGGGTGGTGGGGGTACCACAGCCTGATGTGACTCACCACACTACAGTGGGCGGTAGTCCAATGCAGATGCTGCACGACCTGCACCCGGTGAACCTGAGTGCCTCGACGCTTACCACCAGCACCACTCTGAACGGCAGTCTGCCGACGGCCACGGCCACGCTGCCCCGCCAGCCACATGGCATCCTGAAAGATCCCAATCGGAACAAACAGCAACAACATCAGCAGCAGCAGCTGCTCAACGCCAGTTTAGTGGGTGTGGGTGTTCCAGTATCAGCGCCCATGGGTAGCCTGCAGATCCTTAACCTGCCACCGGCGGGCGGTGGACTGGGTAACAATCTACTGATGACCACCAGCGGAGCCTTCGACCCGACGGCGGTGGGCATGAGCAGCTTCGGCGGAGTGAGCCAGGCCGGCGGCATTCCGGTGGCCTATACCGATGCGGATGGACACCTCGTATAGCTGTAGGCGGGAACTGGGGCCATCAGCAGCAGCAGTAGCACCAGCTGCAGCACCACCGTTCGGATCCTATCCGGCAGTGAGCCCCGGTTCTAAGCAACCATGTCGTCAGCACATCATCCTATCCACAACCTATCCAGCATACTCGTAACTGTAACCAACCTACTCGCAAGGATGTAGCTAGTTTAGGAGCTTTCTCTTCGGCAAACTGGGTCCCTTTTGGTGTCCCCTGTCCAGCAGCCACATCCACTGGCCATTACCTTATTCAAATCAGCCAGCGAATTAGTTTATGTAAATTTCTACCCAATTCTTACGGCTTCCACAGTCAATGTGGGTGTTTATTTAGATAAGGATTCTGAAAGGGAGGCAAAGTCACTGGGGGGAGTGAGCATAATTTCGTAGAGAGTTTTACTAATTAGCCGGCAGCCGGAGTGGCGGGAGGAATAAGAAAATAATTTGAAATTTCCTTGGGTGGAAAACGCGAAACGGTCCAGAGCCGTTTGACAGCTCCCAGGGGCGTGCTTCGGCTCAAGTCGACTGGGCACGTGATTGCCCTGGACGGCGCCAGCGGCCATGGTCGTCGAAAGTTGAAGGTTGACAGCCGCTAGCTGCTCCACAATCTTCCCAACTCCTGATTCAAGTGCTAGATTTACCACCTCCCCTTTAATGGGGCAGATGGAAAATCTGGGAATGGGTTTACATTCTACCGAAAAAAACCACAGTGGAACCTACTTAACTCAGACCACTAGAAACATTTTAGAAACAGGAAGTTTTAATGAGAGAAATGTGGGCTTTAAATTATTTAATGACAAGGGAAAATGGGTTAGACTTTCTTCATAAACTTAACTTAAATTTTACAAAATTCGTCATAGAATGAATATTTTCACAACATTTAGAATTCAGTTATCTATATATATAACTTACTCATCAGTTTATATATAACTTTCAGCTTAAAGTGCCTAGACCCTTCCTTCTTCTGACTTAAGAAAGGCTCCTTTTAAACAGGATTAAAAGAGCACGTCGCTGGTAGTTAGGAAATCTAAGTTAAAGACTTCAAAAGATAATCTATAGAAGCAGTGATTTTTTCTCAAAATAAAAAAACTTTCTTACTGTTCCCAGGGAATGTAAACTGCGGAAAATCAAGGCTAACCCAAGATTACGCCTTGGAATTTAAGTTCGCCAGCTTCTTGAGTTGCCCAACTCAATCTTTTCCATGAAAATGCGCATATCGCAGATATGGTGTAAAGGCGACCACGCCCTCTCAGCCATTATATGCAGAAGCCGCTGCCTGTATCTCCATCTATCCAGCTGGCATTCGAGTGGCGCTGCCGCCCATAAACAGTTTTCATTTGCCACTCGTCGCAGCTCAGCGAGCGTGACATGCCAATCCTCGCCTGCGTTGCCATTAGCTCTTCCAGTTCGGGACTAGAAGAATCCCGGAATCCCAAGGACCACTCAGCTCGACACACGCCCTACCCTGCCACCCCATATCCACAACATCTATATCTTTGACTTTGTAGCCAAGTTCTTGAGATCCTCGAGCGTCGTGCATAATTGCCAGCAGCATTGTGTGGATTTTAATATTCATTTGGCTGTAATTGCTGGATCCGGATCTGGATCGGGGGAGTGCACTATTGCAGCTGCTAGTCCTTAGTGGATTATCGCAAATGAATAAATGCCCTGATTTTGGGGCATAGATGACGGCGGCGATGGCGGATTCAAGGCAGTAGGTGGGGCTCTGTGCAAACACAGAGTGTGTAATTAAAAGTGAAATTATCTTTGAAATTAACGCACGCGTAGACAAAGACAAAAGACGATGGCAAGGAGAATTGCGAGGGAAATGAAGAAAAATGCGCGGAAAACTGAGGATGAAATTAAGAATGAAGATGAGGCAACTTTGTGTGCAGAAACACACACACACACACACTCGCATAGACGAGTGTGCTTTTCCACTGTGGGATTTTCCGCTATTGAATAATGGCGATGGCGGTGGCCAGATAAAAGTTAAATGAGCGGGAAAATAAGGAGAATTATAGTTGGGGAGACCTGTTGTTTTTCTTTTTTGGTGGATGGACGATGGCCAAAGGACAGGGGCTGCTGGGAGGAGGATGACCCTCTCTATACCAGATATGCGAATGTATAGCTTGTACTCAACTCAACGAGTAGTGCTACCAAATTGCATTAATAATTAGCATTTAACTGGATCCGTAGCCCTAAGTAGCTAAGCCAAAACAATTTCGAACCACTACTCAATCAGCAAGCCAAGACCCTTCAAATTGTAAAATACCACAGGGAAGGAGCCGAAAAAGAAAGAACGAAAGAATCTAAAAGGATTACCGATTAGCGATAAATAATTAACGATTAAAAGGACAAATGCAGGTATATCGATACACAAACAAACACAAACACACACTCGGAGGAGAGTCATTGCAATTCATAGATGTAAAACGTAGCATACTATTTCGCATCTCGTAACTCTTAGGTCCTGTCCCCCCCCAAAATACCCTCTAAAAAGTTTGGAGCTTGGCAGGGAATTCCCGACATATACATAGGAATAACCAAACTCGCTGTTTTCTTAGGGATAACTATTTGATTGCACTCGAACTTAATACTCCACGGAATAGGAAAGGTCTCCTTAAACTGCAACTGCAACCGCACTTGCCACTGCATTTGCATCTTACAAATCTTGTATGTCTTCCCCAGCTTGTCCTGACGATTGTTGATTGTCCTTAGTTTGATCCACAAATACGTATTTATAATTACACATACACCAGATTAGTTTTAACTTAACACACACTCTTGTCGGGGGAAATAAATAAGACTTATTGTAGATAATTATGTTTAAAACAATTAACAAACACGAATTCAAGTTGTTCAATTTGTATTTTTGCCAAAGAGATATTTGTTAAACAAAGAAAGGATAACTTGCAGCTAGATTATGTTTGTCTGTGTGCTTGTTTCAATCTCGCTGTATTTGATTGTTGTACGATTAAATTAGAGTCCCTATATCTATATGCATATATGATTTTGAATATGCCCTCATTCGACGTTAACGTAGCATAATTGAAGCAGCAGCTGAAGGCGATGACACACAAGACTTGAATACCGAACCTAGGTTAATGTTAAATGTTAATGGAAATCGAAATCGAAATCTAAACTTAAAGCAACTAAGTATGCGTGTGTATAAAGCGAATTATTTACCAATGGATGTGAATGTTTTTATGACACTAATTGAGTTATGTATTTTATGTAGTCTGTATGCGTATATCTATAACTATAATTAACTGAAAGCATTGTACAGTAGTCGAGAGGAAAACAATAATTAACATGGCGTAAGTTCATTCAAAGATACAAAAACACAAAATAAAAAAAAAATTTAAAAACAAGAAAATAAATTAAACGCATAGTTCATAAACTCAAAGCATAAGCCGCCACTCAGAAAACTGTATAAAACGAAAAGAAACGATTCTTTGAAAACAAAAAAAAAAAAAAAAAAACAAATTTATTGAAAAACTATGAAAATTAATGCATATGAAACCTACTGCATTTTTAAAAAAAAGATCTGTTAACAAATGAATAATAAAAACCATAAAAAGGATGAATACCAAAAACGAAATGCATTTCCATTGCGGGACAAAGGGCCAGCCGATTACGGCACAAAGGACAATTTAATGGCAAAACTTTCGAATCAATTTTCAGCAGCGGCAGGACTCAAACAAAAGGACGATGGCTTTCCAGGACCTCCCACCACAGACGGGAGACACTCTCTCTCTTCCCGGCGAGCCAAAGTTTTCCGAAGGGCACGGGGACGACTATCATCCGTCTTGCCGGGTGTGGTGCAAAAAATTGAATTCCTTGTAAAACTTACGAGCTGGCATTAATTTTAACAGCATCTCGGTGGGCGGAAAGCTATGGGTGTTTGGTAGGTCGATGGTAGGTGGGCGGATCCTTGATGCCTTCTCAAATTACGTATACGGCCCATTGAACGCTCTGCCGGGCACACGGACATGTGTGCGTACACTCCCCGGGTCGGGACCATTATTCTCTCCTGACTGACTTTATGACGCTCATTCGATGGGCACAAATCGCAGCTCGTTTTTCATTTAAATGGAAGTTAATTAGTTCCGCCAAAAAAAAAGAAAACAAAAGCGAAAGAATATCCTTCGTACATATTACGAGAACAACAATGGCAGCGGCGCAAATAAAGGGCAAATAAAATTTCGCATTCCCCAGAACTGGGCGTGGCCAAAAGCATTCCTTGCTGCAATTGATTGATTTATTCCCGTTTCCATTCCACATCCCACCTTTCGAACCGCCCTCGATCTACTTCTTGCTTTGGCTTCGACATCCACTTCGGCTTCATCAGTTGTTGCCGCAAATTGATTCAACAAACGGCAAACAAGTGAAGCCTGGCCATGATGGGCCTTCAATTAATGGCCGGATGGGGCAAGTAAGTACGGGCGGAGCTGCCCGGGACACAAAACTTTCTCGCACCGTAACTCGGCAACTGTCAGCCGGCGGAATACTCGATTTTCCCTAACGAGCTAGAGGTAAAGGATGGATCTAAAATGATAAAAGAATTTCCAGTATAAAGCTGGACAAAATACCTATTTCTGTAACAGATAGCTGAAGGTTAAACTTTAATTTAATTTTCAATTGAAAAGTGAAAGCATTTTAGACAGAAAAGTGTATATTTTTTGGTTCTTAATGTGAGACAATATTTTGTAAAAAAAAGGACATTTTCGTTTTTGTTTCTTGCTAAAATCATGTTTTTTTAATATTTAAATAAAAAGAAATCAGCATATTTAATAATGTTTAAAATAAAGAAAATGCAGTAAGTTTTGTTATTCCTTCATGGGAAAATTCTAAAATTGTAAAGAAGAAAAGCTGAAGAAAAGCTAACTAAAAACTTCAAAAGAAAATACAATCTAAGGATTTCAAATCTCAAGTACAGAAACACCTGAGATAAGGGTATCCAAGTTTCACTTTTGCAATCTGAACTTTTCCGTTGGCAGTTTTCATTGTAATGCAGGTGACAAAGCCCCCGCGCATCCCAAACCCATATCCCGGCCGTTTTTTTTTTTTTTTTGACAACGGCTTTTGGCCAACGACCGGAGCCGTCAAAAGGAACAAACCTCAGTGGCGACAGCGTGGAAATGCACGTCACAAGTACTCGCACAGTTCATCTGGCCGAGTAAATGGAAAAGTTTTGTTTGGTAAACTTTTTGGCCAGAAAAGAAAGAAAGCGCTAAGGCACGCTGAGTGCTGCAAGTGCGGAGGTGGGAATGCTGGAAGCTGGTCGCTGGTAGCTAAAAGCTGGGTCCGAGGTACAAAGTCACTAAGGAAACAATGACGACCAAAAAGTTTCTCGTTGGCATAATCATTGTCATGGTCATTGACGCAAGGATTTGCAAATTATCAGGGACGAAACTTGACCGGGCG